GGGGGGATGGATGGTCTTGCAAAGATATCGATGAATGCAAGGAAGAGAAGCACAACTGTAGTCAGCATGCAGCATGCACTAATTCCATCGGGTCCTACAATTGCTCCTGTCTTGCTGGATTTCGGGGGGATGGATGGTCTTGCAAAGATATCGATGAATGCAAGGAAGAGAAGCACAACTGTAGTCAGCATGCAGCATGCACGAATTCCATCGGGGCCTACAACTGCACCTGTCTTGCTGGATTTCATGGGGATGGATGGTCTTGCAAAGATATCGATGAATGTAAGGAAGAGAAGCACAACTGTAGTCAGCATGCAGCATGCACTAATTCCATCGGGTTCTACAACTGCACTTGTCTTACTGGATTTCGGGGGGATGGATGGTCTTGCAAAGATGTCGATGAATGCAAGGAGGAGAAACACAATTGCAGTCAACATGCATTTTGCAGCAATATTGTAGGCTCTCATAACTGCACTTGTCGTGATGGGTTCCTTGGGGACGGATTCTACTGCCTTGACATTGACGAGTGTAAGGCTGAAAGGCATATGTGCCACAAGAATGCTGAGTGCACGAACAAAGTGGGTTCGTACGAATGCTCCTGTCTTTTCGGTTTCTATGGTGATGGGCGTTCTTGTGCAGACGTCGACGAATGTGGTGATGGTAGTAGCCTATGCAGTAAGGATGCCAACTGTGTAAACAACCCAGGCTCTTACACGTGTTTGTGTAAAAATGGCTATTTCGGAAATGGGACCCATTGCAACGGTACGATGGACTAATATAAAATTTTCGGTGATTATTTAAAGTAATGTGCCACTATGTCGGGGGTATTGGAAATTTCTCTTTGTCAATTGAAAATATTTATTTGAACTGTAAACTGCAGAAGCTGCGTTACAGCAGCAAGATGGTACGGAGCAGCACGTTACACGTACGCATAACCTTGTTACCAAATACATTTTAAATAATATCCGGGTTCCTCAAAAAAATTTAAAAATTAATAGGCTAGATTACGTACAGGACTAATGTATGGTCCATTTCCCGAGAAGTGCAAAATTACTTTGTCTAGCAAACTCCAACTCTATTTTATTTCCACTTTAGGAAACAAGTAGCTTATGCAACGGAAGGGAAGGCCATGAGAAAGACGAGATATTGAAAGGGAGAGATAATAAGAGCGAAATAAAACAATTCAGTACTTCCGTTTTTGATACATTTGTTTCCTTTATAATATCCTAGATGTCGATGAGTGCAATGTTGGCACCGCAACGTGTGACAGACATGCTCGCTGCAATAACACGCTTGGCTCTTACCTGTGTTCGTGTATTGCTGGTTACTTTGGTGACGGGAGGAACTGTTTGGACAAGAACGAGTGCATCCACAGACCCTGCGACTGGAACGCAGTATGCAGAAACACCGAAGGTTCCTACAGTTGTAACTGCAAACCGGGATTTACAGGCGATGGATGGTCATGTGTGGATAACGATGAGTGCGAAGCAGGTACCCATGACTGCCACAAGAATGCCGAGTGTACCAATTTAAGAGGCTCTTATCACTGTTGCTGTCTGAAAGGTTACCAGGGAAATGGTAAACAATGCCGGAAAGGTAAGCTTTGTTTCAACTGTTCTTAGGTTACCTCATAATCGAAGACTCAGATGTTCCCTGTCATTCCGTTACAACGGTGCTACGAAGGGTCGTCGTCTCGAATGACTGGGAGTTTAAGCAACTACGACGACCACTGCTACGAAAACGTCACTGAAAATTATCTGTTCATGTTCTTTCAAACGTTATCGCTTATATTTAGCCTCACCCAATATCTTAAATGTCCGACAGACGGCGAATTCTTTAGAAATGTGTCCAAGATCAAAACGGGGAATGGAAAACTTTTGCCTTCTGTGTTGACTTCCTCCACACAACATCGCCTTTGGAAGTTTCACGTCGTAATCGTGCAGTGGAAGTTTAGGACCAAAAATTTTGATACACCTGCAGTACTGTTGTGTTTCTTATAAAACTACGTTCTCGTTACCGTTTGTTTACTTAATCTCCCACTGTTCTTGGGTCTGCGCGGTAATACTGTTCTTGGAAAAAGTGTTTATTGTATAATAGTCTCTTCTAGCATCTGATTTCCTAGAAGCATAGTGATGTCATGATTCTGAGTTTGGTATCTAAGTTCGATCGGTTCAAGCTTACTGGCATCACATAAAGGCCAGACCATTTATTATTATTTTCCACAGTGATAAGAAAGTTCACTACTGACAACCCCATTTTCTCAGTTTCCAATTTGACGAGCAAAGCATATCTGCAGTTACGTGTTAACAGGACGATTTTGTTCTTTCTTTTCTCTAACAGCTTCAAATGGAAATTCTTTTGTTCCGCGAGAAGTACTCATTTATGTTGCAATGGGGATTTTATCCTGGTTGATGATTACGTGAAAAGCTGTACGTGGTTTGTCACTGACCTTCGGGTTGCCAGCACAAATACTTTGACGTACGAGACAAAGTGGCGTCCATTAGTAAAGTGAGATATATTTTGAGGACGTTTAAAGCCGGTCCTAAAGTCATCTTACTAAGAGGTCATTTCGCAGCGACGAATATTGAAAAATTATGGAATGAGGATGAGGATAATCTAAAGAATTATGCAGATCTCAAGGGATGTTTGACAACTATGCCGAGGACGAAGGTCTTTTCTTTATTCAAACCTTACCTTCCTGTCGATCGGATTAGTTTTCGGAGTTTGATTTGCAGATGATGTATAACAACTACAAACGAACATAATCTTTAAAAATGGGACAATACAAAGCGGTAAACGTACATTAGAAGCATCTACGGCGGATGAAGGTGTTAAAATTTAAATCAGGAGAGAACGTCGATGTTCTCTTTATTAATTGCATTTGTCAATGAATAAACTCATTAACGCCAATAATAAAGAAAACCCAATGTACGAGTCATAGTTACCTAACTTTACATTCTGATATAGATGTACCACAGAAAAGTACAGACGTACCTCCACTAGCGGCCACCTCTACGCCATAATGGCTTTTTTGTTTTGTTCCGGTGGACACCCACACTCTTGTCTTGATCTCTTCACAACGACGACGTTCCCCTGTCCTCGAGCAGTTCGTTGTCTGGTTGTGGAGATGTTGGAATTAAGCAACGGCCGCCCGGTTAGCTCAATTGTATAAGCGCCGGTCTGCCGAGCGGGATGTCGAGGGTTCAAACCTTGGCCAGACCAACACTCAGGGTCTTAAAATAACTGAGGAGAATGTGCTGCCTTTGTTGTTATATCTACAAATGGTTAGACATTCTAGTCTTCTCGGATAAGGACGAAACACCGTAGGTCCCGTTTCACTGTTCTGATTCTTGTGGGACGTAAAAGAATCCACCTACAGTAATTTTCAAGCAGTTATAATAACTTCTCTAGTGGGGTTAATTTAACTCCTTTCAGTGGAGTTATTTTTTGGGGAGTTATTTCAACTCCAAAAAGAAGTTTAAAGAACTCTTTTTCAGGGGTAAAAATGACCCCAGATATTGAGGAGTTAAAATACCCCCCAAAAAGGAGTTATCCTGTACCTAAAATTTTTACTCCATTTTTGGAGTTATAATAACTCCCTAAAAATTAAAGTACACTGCTGTTCGTAAAGAGTAGGGGGCGTAGACCTCGGGGGTGTGGTGCATCCTTTCATGGGTTGGCTGGGTAAAGAAGAGCTTGATATATTGGGATACAAGTCCTGTTTCATCCACTTTCACCGTGTTGAGTCACCGTAGCGAATTCAATTACGTAAATCAGTTTGATGATTCCGTTAAGCCGAGCTACTATCAGTTATCACCGCTAAGATTTACTTGACGTCCGATTAAAAGGGGAATGGGAAATGGCGCGTTACGTTTTGTTGCCCCAAACGAACCTCAGAGTCATCATTTCTTTCTTGTGTAAATTGAATAGTTATCATTTTAAAAAGCTGCCTGATATTTGAAGGGGGCCATGGTTCTGGTCTATGGTCCTTGTTCCCAGTGGGCCTCAGCTGTCAGCCTGTTCCTGTTGGGATAGCGGAGTGCGGCGCGAAGGAAGAGAGCGAGAAAAAAATATGGAGGAAAAGAGGGAGAGGGACCTCCTCACCCCTACCCCACCCCTCGTTGTTTTTCTTTGTCTGCTCACACCTCTTTGCCATGTCCCCATGATCTGAACGCCTGGAACAGGCTACCCAGTTGTGTACAAGGATTTCAGTACGCGTCAAGGTTGGTCTGTAAAAAAGCAATTGTTGATTTGCCAATCAGGTTGAAGCCGAAGTTCGAAACGAGCTTCCATTAATTCGTTGAGTCTGTTGGAGATTAACAACAAGGATCTCGGTGCTGCTTCACAAAAGTTACTAGCCGGGCTAAGATGTTTTACAACTTGTCTTTCATTGATAGGTTATGAATAGATTTTCTGCAGTGTTTGTTTCTGACTAAATTTGACCTCTGAAGCAGTTTAGTATTTCTTTGACTTCTTTTGAAGCGTTGATCTTTTTATTACGGCTAAATGGCCGTTAAATTATAATTAGGTTTTGATTACTTTTAATTGGTTTTCTCCGAAATGCCTGGATGTGGATAGTTTCATGTTATTCAATTGTTTGGTCCCTGAGTTTGATGATTACCAGATTCCATGCTTTATTGTCACGCTGGGCCCAGCTCTTTGGTCTAATGCTTCATTAATTCATTTATTTTACCAATTCATGGTTTATTAATTCATGTTTAACCAATCCAGGTCAGTCAAGTTTTGTCACATGAAGATGCTATATATACCAAGTGAGGATGCGGGATATGTGAGGAAGGGGGATGAGAAGGATAAGGAAAAAATCTACATCAATATTGAGGCAAATCAATTCTGCTTTTCACTTATCGATTCTAATATTCATTCAAATTCATCTTTATTTCAAAATTTACTAGAGCGCCTTAAACAGTGTTGAGTTTGAGTCCATGACCTAACGTATTGTTCGTAAGTTTATTTTGACTGTTCGGTCCCGTTTCCAAGAAAAAGAGGAACTTATTACGCTAGCTAATTATGCATGAAACTCAAAGGTATCTTAAAATTCACTGACAAAACTGAAAAAGATTTTCACGCCATTATTTAGGTCATTATGCAAGGAACTAACAATAAACTGCTTTCTGAACTCTAAAAGCATATTGCAAGTTTACTGTCTGTTTTCGCTAACGTCTTACGTGCTAGCTTCTCTCGAGTGGAACGATCGTTCTAGTAGTGTCGTAGGTAATTACTGAGTGAGTGACCAGTGCGCAAATGCGCCTCATATGCCTCCAGCCAAATCAATCCTTTCATGGCGACTTGGTAAAACGTGTTGTCATCCGTCCACTCCGCTGGCTTGTAGTGGCAAATTTGAGTACAGCCATCCTTGCTCCCCCAAGTATGGTCGTCACTGCTTCCTGAATTTAACAACGATCCATCTCGCTTTCTCAAGCAGCAGGACGGATTGCTAACCACCATCTGTGGGCAGGAGTTGGGATAATCGGCTGGGATGTAGATCCTTAGCGTGTACTGTCTATCACTGGAACAAGTTACTCTTATCTCCACTCTTGTGTCGCCTCGTGGATCGATCCATGTCACTCGGTTACGAAAGTAGTTTTCAAGTAAACCTTTCTCGTAGCCCAGTCTTGTTTGCTGCGACTGTGACCAAGGCATAGTGAGAGCACTCAGAGTACTTCTTAGGAAAGTGCGATATATAGAATTGTGGCGGCAGAGACTGTAGATCGCAGATGAAGGCAGCGATTTCAAAATAGCTCCGACAAAATATACATCAAGTGAATTTCCTAGAATCCGTACATTAGCATTTAATTTATTCCAAATTCAGAAAATTAATTAATGGAATTATGTCTCACTTGTAGAGTAATAGTGGAGAATGAAATTCTGGGAAAATCGTTCACAAATACGACGGAGTGTTCTATGGTCTATCACGCAGAGTAGCTTGTTATGCCTTTGATGTAATCTCAAGGAAACTAATAAATAGAGAGAAGGAAATGATTGCAAGACTTGATCAGTGCCGTCATGTTACACTGGGAGTTTGATGAAAGTTTCATTTGTTTGTCACCCTTTTAGCTGATCACCACTAATGCCCAACCGTGTTTGCAGTGAAATGTTTTGGAGGAAAAAATTACTTAACTTATATTTTATCAACAAGCTGATCCTATTTTTCGTAAAAGCGTGCATGCATAATTAAAATTTTCTGAGAAACCTATCTTATTGAAAACAAATCTGTTCATTCACTTTCCAGTTTCACTCGACTTCCTTGATGGAGTTCTTGCCAATCGTTTTTTTTCAAAAGCAGAGTTAAGATTTGTGGAAGACGATCAGATAATCAAACCACTAAAACCTTATGGAAGCTCATTTCATCTTTACTGGGTGGTATAAAAGCATTTCTTGAGGTAAAACTTATTCTGAGAAAAAGTACTTAAGCACATGCGCAATATTGAGGTGTAAGAGCTAAAGGTGGATATATAGAGGGGTTGTGTCACGCTATTCTGAAGCGTGTCCTCGCATTAAATTCCAAACATAATGGTCCAGTTTTGTTATTTAAGCCTATATTGAGCCATTGCAACTGTTTCCTGAAGTCTGTTGCCACAAATGGCAAGGATGAACATGGACTAAAACTGGACAAAAAGGGCTAACTTTTTTCAAGTTTTAATGCTATTTTCTGCCTTTTTAACCTGCAAATATCACCTCCGTGATGATGTTTGTTTAATATCTTCTTCACAATAACATCAACTCTACAGGAGTAGAGTTTTTTGAAAAGGGGATTATTATACGTTTCTGGGAAACTGCCACCAACCGGAAAAAGCATATCTAATGACTTTAGAACAGATTTGACCTAAAATAGCAATATCCTAGCTTGCGCCAATAGTTCCTCTAACTATGCCATTTAACCCTTTAAGTCCCAAGAGTGACTAAAGTCAATTTTCTCCCAACAAAATCAATACATTATCAAGGGAAAATGTTGTAAGAATTAATAAAATAATCACCTGATGGAAAAAGCTTTGATATACAAAACAAATTCTCTTAACCAATTCTTCAAGGAAATGCATGGAGATCACTCTGGAGACTGATTTGTATTCGGATATTTTTGGGGGCTTTAAGGGTTAATGCAGGGAAAAATTGATTTTATACCCTTTTAATTGACCCCAAAGAAGTTATTAATCCTGATTGAAGAGCAACTAAAATTGCCAACCTTGAATCCTCTTTGAAACTTTGTTTCATTGAATTTTTAAAGAAAAAAACCGCGGTATTGCAATGTCCCAAAGATTTCTGTCAGTTGCCTGAGTTACACGTTTAATCAAAATTTATGACTCAATGAAAGGGAATGGTGTGGGGGAAGTTAAATTCAGTGTCATACAGATTGTCGATTGTCGTTTATGACCTGAAAATAACGTCTATGTTTTGTTTATATTTCTCTTTAGCAAACTTTGAACAAAGTCTATTGACCCTTTGATGTCTTTTTGTAACAAAAAGTCGCGAGTACGTTTCCTTTTGCACACTCTTGCTCTTCGTCATGAGCTCGGACGCTAACCATATAAAGTAAATATAAGCAAACTCTGAAAACTAATTTATATAGTGAGTAAATAATGTGTCAAATGAGTTGTCATTTCTTTCTAGTGTATTCCAAAGTTGGTCGCTATTTACTGCCTAAGGTCTCACTTTCACTTGACATTTCTTACAACATGATTTCCCAGAAAGTTTAAAAAATTCTGAAAAAAAAAAGAAAATCCGTTTATGTCCAAATGGTAGTTACGTAAGTAATCAATGTCATCACCGAACAAGTGTTAGGGGATGTATATATCGCTTAGCCAATTAACGAGTAAGGTACCAAGACTCTGTTATTCTACTTGTGACTTTTATTCTTCTTGCGGCGTTCTACAGCTTCTCTCCTACTACAATGCTTCTACTACTAGCAAACCCATCACCAGCGAATTAAATAAGCAAATTGCAGACGTGTTTGGGTTAGCTGACCTTGAGAACTTTGCATCGCATATCCTGTCGCTTTACTTACACTGTCGTGATAGAGAGAAGTGTGACGTCACATTACCATGTAGCAAAATTTTTGAATCACCACAAAAGGGAGTTCAGGCAACAACGACGGCGACGGCAACGAGAACGGCAAAAAGCAATAAGTTTATATTAGTAAAACAACAACTTTGCACGTGTATCACGCTTTTTTGCACATTTTTTAGCCATCGTTGCACTACTAGTGCGGCTTGAAACTTCCTAATTTCACGCGCTCGCTTCACGGAGTAGGTGAACGCAACACAGAAAGTTTCTTTTTCCAGAAAATTTCGCCAACATTCGACAAATTAAATGAAATTGAATAAGATCGATGAAGTTTGAAACAATTCGAATTTACTTTTAAAGTGAATTTTCGGTTTGTTGTCATCCAAACATTTTGCTACCATGGCAACGTGACGTAACCACTTCTCCTCTCTTTGAACAAGTACCCAGGAACCAATTGAATGCTAGCAGTAAAACCGCTCGCTAGGACCAAGCATACAAAACAGGAATTTCATTGGAAGTGAAACTTAAGGTCAACTTTTATCTGGCCCGAACATGCCTACTTCAAAGAACTACAACTACGTAGTTTGAACAAACCCTTTAAATAGACGAAGCTTCTCAAAAACTCAGGAACTAACCGTGCGTGCTATACATTGAATTTCTTTGGTATAGGAATTGTTTATTAGGAAACTAGCACGTACTACAAAATAATCACTCGGATACCCTAAACGTAAGAAAAACCTTAAAAATATCAAAATTGAAAAAGAAAACTAACAGCAACTACTTCGTGACACAAGTTATCACATTTATGAAAGACTCATACTAAGAACTACTCACTATGCTACCGAACAAAATACAAAATTATTCTATTGATAGTCTTATCCTTTAAGAATAGCTTCGTATTCGTTTGCTTTACCTCTAAGGACTCGAGCCGCGCCAGAGCCCTTGTTCTTTACTATATCTCTGACTTCGTAATTCAGATCTGTAATATCTACAATAAGAAACACCACACTGACTCCGATGATAAAAGCCCCCGTGGACTTGGTTGATGCTTTACCAACATTATGAATAGCACTGGAGGCTGTTGTAGAGAATAAACCAGTGGGAAGAAGTTGCCTAAGGAAGGGTCTTATCAAAGGGTTTCTACGAACCATTATGGTATCAAGCCAAACGCAAAATAGCAAACGAAATTTGCTTTTCACCTCTATTAGCTCATTAATCTGATTCTTTACTTTCTGTATTGTGCGATTTGCCTCTTGTACGGCTCGTTCCACCTCCTTGATAATATTTGAGTTAAGTTTGGCTTCCACAGCGCTCTTTCCTAAGTTAGTGCAAGCTGCGGTTACCCCAAGTGCCGTGCCTACTCCCAGTAAAGGTACAGCACCTCCACCTGTCATGAGTGTAGCGATTGTCAGGACACCGCCTAGGATCCTTAACACCTGCTCCAAAAGCAGACACTCGTTGGCAGTCACTCCACACCTCGTCAAGATAGTCAGCGAGCTCTCGAAGACGCTCTACAGTATTTTTCAGCCTAATCGTCATTACCCTGACATGTTCAGCTAGTTTCTTTTCTTCCGGATTCAGGTCTCGCCCCATGGTCATACCTGCATCAAGGAGAATTCGGTTTTTCTTTTCTGTAATTACGTGCCATGTATATAATTATGTAGAGTGTTTTTAGATTACTTTATAACGAGTGGGTTATAAGGCCTTCATTAACGAGTTCAAAACTTCGGAAAACCATCGAGTGAGCGAAGTAAAGGAGTGCGAGTTTTCCGAAGTTTTGAGCTAATAAAATAATATTTTTACAATATATCCGTGCGGCCTACATTGGACGAAAGAATGGATTTGCACAAATTATGTCGCAATTTTGTGTAAACTGAGAATTAAGTCTGAGGCAAAGATGGTAAATTCCACAATTACCTTCTTATTTACAAGCCTGTGTTTTTTGGTTTGATTTTGATTTGCCATCTTTACCTCTTATTTTCACGTTAAGAAACAGCAAAAGAGGTCGGGTAAACCGGTCTCCACTAATACAAAGTTGAAAAAATCAAACGTGTACATAAGCTCAACTACCGTTCAGGCACCGTACAAGTCCAAAATAAGCCTCTCCTTTCATAAGGCCTTATGGATATGACTACCCACACCCATCAAAGTTGATGTAAAATTTGTTCAAAACGTCCAGAAGCTTCCTTAACCTGTCCGTATATATCTACTTACATAAATGTTTTAATTACAAATTAATGATTCAGTTTTTATTCACAGTATTCATTTTTATCTTATTTGATTTTTATGCATCTATTTATTTGTACGTATTTATGTATTTCGTATAATTTCGATGAATTTATATATAAAGTCTTTGATTTATTGATTGATTTCAATGCTCGAGTATTATCATTATTTAGTATTGAAAAACAATTATGACACAAATTTCTAAAGCAATCATAAAGCAACCATAAAGCAACGCAGTTTAAGAAACGAAAATTCACCTCTAATAAAGACCTTTGGGGCTCGGTATTTACGAAATTTTATAGTACTTTATTTTCACGGAGCAAACAACAACAACGTTAAAAAGATCCAAAATGGCCCAATAACAGTAGACTGCAAAACAGTCCGTATTTTTGCGTATTCAAGTACGCGCGAGCAGTCAAACGAGGCTGAAAACAGAGAGCGAGACTGGGGAGAGACGCTAAAAAAAACTTTGAGAAAGGCTCTGCTAGCAGAGAGCTTTCGGATAAACGTAAAGGTCAAACCAAACATTAAAATAAACACATCTTAAGTGAGATTCAGGCACAGATTTTTCTTCCGAAGTCTTTAAGTAGAAAGATAAAAAAAAACAAAATTCGCGCATTTTTAAAGACTTCGGCGAAAACGTTTCTGAAATTACCGCTAGATTGACTACAGAAAACGCGCTTTGGACTATGTGACGTCACAGTTGGCGAACTTGCTGCAGCGAATATCTCGACTCAGAAGCCCGGAAAAGTGTACGGTTTGTTTTCCCTTGGCGTTTATTTTCAGTTTGGTGCACTTGTTATCCTAAGTGATAGATTCGAAGCATGGGTAATGTAAATCAGTCTGTTCGAGCCAAATTGGTATTCTTGTCGCCCTTTTTGGACTAACCCGTCACTAATCCGTCGGACTTGACGCTGGCAAAGATTTCGGTCTTAATCCCCAAAGGCAGTGTTAAAAATTAACGGCTATTGTCAGTGATACTTTTTAGATGAATTTTTGAGTGAGATGTTTTATTAGTAATCAAAGATTGAAAAGGAGTCGATAATGTGGGTCACGTCAACTATTCTTGATAATGACCTCTTTTTAATGATTTATCATTGCAATTTTAGCTGATACATTTGCTTATAAATAAACTTTTAACGAAACCTTAGGCCCTCGATTTTTTCACTTCCCGTCAGGTCGTCACACGTCACGTTGATAACTAGCTGATACTTTCCTGTAAAGTAACCACTGATACACCAATCACTAACCATGGACCACGGTGGTACAAATAGTACTACACTATCGTCTGATGAAGACCTGCCGTACGTAGACGAAACGTCGTGGTCAGTAACTAAGTGACAATCATAAGACAAACGATCACCGAAAACCTTTAATTCACTAAACTTGTTCACACATTTAGAGCCTTAAAGATACACTTAGAATTTGATTTGAAAATAATTTTGTCGACCCTGTATCGATAGTCTTCGCTTAGCGTTAGGCTTTGACAGAACTGAGCCCTGTTACTGATCTCTTAGAATAGCTTCGTATTCATTTGCTTTTTCTCTGAGCACCCGAGCTGCGTCAGAACCCTCGTTATTGACAATATCTCTTACTGTGAATGCCAGATCTATGACATCTAAGACGATGAAAGCCGTGCTGACTCCGATGATAAGGCCTCCCGCAGCCTTAGCTCCTCCCTGGTCACCTCCTTTGCCAACAGCTTTTGACCCTTCTTTGGTGGCTGCGTTTCCAGCCGCCTTGGACACTACCTCGGAAGCAGCTTTTCCAGTTGCGTTCGCACCGACCTTTGTACCAATCTTCTCAGCGGCTTTGGCAACAGTTTTGACAGTTTCTATCCCGGCCTTCGAGGCTAAGGCTGATATGGCTCGTGCTGCATCTGTTACTGCAGGAAGAGCTTTGGAGAGTAAATCAGTACTAAGAAGGTCTTTGATGAAGGCAACTACCAAGTGGTTTTGACCTAGCATTCTGGTAGCTAGGCCAGCAAGAAACAGCAAACGCACTTGGCTTTTCCCTGTCTTCATCTTATTGATTCGTTGTCTTACTTCCTGTATTGCGCGATTTGCGCCTTCTACGGCACCGTCTACCTCCTGGATGATAGCTGAGTTAATAGAGGCTTCCACGGCAGAAGTTCCTAGGTTAGTGCAAGCTCCGGCCACCCCAAATGCCGTGCCTGCTATTAACAAAGGTGTAGCGGCTCCAGCTGTCATAACTGTTGCGACACCTCCAAGGACTGTCAGAACACCGCCTGTGATCCCAGCACTACTTCCAACAGCAGACGCTATCTTGCAATCCTTCCACACCTGGTCAAGATAGTCAGCGGCATTTCGAAGGTGCCTCACAGCTTTTTCCAGACTAACGTTCATTGTGTTGACATGTCCTGCAACTTCCTGAACTTCTTCAACCAGCTGTTGCATTTCTGCCTGGTTCAGGTCTTCCCATCTTGGCATACCTGCATCAACCTCGCCTAAAATAATACAAAAAAAGAGTTTTGATGATTATTGATAACATATTATGATTATTTATGATGATTATTTATTAAGTCGTTCATTCAGTTATTTTACAAAGACGTGGCTTGGAAAAAACGAAGCCCAAACTATGACATACACGTGCCTTTCAAGGTGGATTCGTGATAGAGCAGGTCCAATAATTAGGAAATAGCCGTTCACTACGAGGGCAGTGCTGTCAATGAATTGCAGAAACTCAGAGTTTGTATCACTGATCCCTGCAATTTATTGAACGCCATCCTCACTCCAAAACCTCACACTCGACAAAGTGAAAATTTCTCGATAACATTATTGAATAGCCTCGCTGTTTTTAGAAACAAAGTTACTTCTGATATGTAATGGAAACCTGATTTCGGAATCCGAGAAATTTTTGCTTTTGCAATACGGAATCTGGGAAAATTTGCCCTGTGGAATCAGTAATCCTGGATCAGGAATCCTGGGATTTGGAATCAGGAATACAGCTCAAAGAATCCGGAATAAAAGTTCCACTAAAAAAGACCTGAATCCAGTACCTGGAATCCGGAATCCACGGGGTGGAATCCAGAATCCAAGACTGTCTTGGATCCCTTACAGGGGGCGATTTAACAAACAAAAATTTTTGATTAGGGATTATGCATGCACTGTATGGCATTACTCAGATCAGCTATCAAAACAAAGCCAAGAGGATCATTCTCAGAACTAATAAAGCACCTACACTTTTTACCAATTTCAATAACAGCCTAACAAAAAAAACCATAAGTGTTAAGCGCAATTTTTAAAATTAATACTTCCCTTTTTATGACTACATTGCTATATCTTATCATTTTAGAATACAATGAACGCATGCACTTCCCGTCCATGTCTTTTTCGTTATAATTATTATTTTATTTTACTTTCTAGAGCAAAACGCAAGAAAAACAAGCCTGTCAAAAATGTACTTGGCCCGACGTGACCTCGTGTCTACATATAGTGGGCCCTGTTTATATTATATGAACTCTGATTCTTTTGCCTCCCTCTGAAATCACCGGCCGATTCCCTTCGTCTAAGTCCAACAAGAAGCTACAGGGAAAGCAGGTTTGTAACTGCGCAATTCTTTCGAGCCACATTGAGTCAGATTGACCAAATAATCAACAATTCATGTACTTCATAAAGTAAACCGCTGTCAATCTCAAATGCTAAAAGCGTAATTAGCTAGCAGCCATGCCTCAGTTGAAGCGACGCCTGTCGACCGGCTTTTCAGCGCTACGAAGTATCTTCTTTAAAGAATAATGCTAAACACACAAAAGTTAAAACATATCCATCGCCAAAATAATCAACAATTCATGTACTTCTGTTTCATTTAACAGAAAGTAAACCGGTGACAATCTCAAATACTGAAAGGGTAATTAGCTAGCAGCCATGCATTGAAGAAACGCTTCTCGTCGCTTTTCAGCGCTACGAAGTATCTTCTTTAAAGAATAATACTAAACACACAAAAGTTAAAACATATCCATCGCTTTGGCTGTTTGTACAAAGGTCGATTTACCGAAGCTATGCACGTGTAATACATCAGATTATAATACTATGGACCACAGCTTCGAACAACTATTCTTCGTTTTCACTCTCACGCAATAAACACGGCACAAAAAAATACATTTGAAACCGTCCAGTGGAAGAAGCCAAGAAAATGAAATGTTATAAAAGACTAATATATAAACAATTTGTCCAAATCTCAGGTCTTTGTGGCCCACAGTTTCTGAGTTAGTGCCGAAACATTTCATGCACCTTTGTAGAGCTTTGTATGGAGACGCCATACTGGTGGACAGAAACTGTCCACCAATATGGCCGCCGGAAATCAACAAAAACATCTGGAGATCACTTTTTCTATAAAAGCTCCTCCTTTTCACTCGAGAACTAGCATACTTGCGCATAAACATATCTTCTAATACTTGAAATGGTTAAACTGCTGAAAATCAAGCGGAGAGACGTTTTTCAAGGAGATAGCATTCCTATTTTGGTGTCACGCACTGTGAAAACTCGGAAGTTCAAACTGCTGTATTTTCGAAATGAAACATGCTTCGGGACTGGAAACTTGTACAAAGATTTATTTCCTTTTAATCTTCAACCTAGTGTAAATTCGTAAAACTTCGCTTTTTTGACTTTGCAATCTGATGACGTCACCGTGAAAACCATCAATACTCACGTTTCCCTTGCAGCTGCTTTTTCGCATACAGTGCTATCAAAGCAATCACAACAAGGCCGAGTACGACTCCCGGTAGCCACATCTTGCTCTGATCAAAAGACACGCTGATGAATACCGTAAATCCAGTTGTTTACTAAGAGAAAGGAAACAGAAACATTTCGGGGAAAAGTCCCCCACGTGGTCTATTGTTACCACTGACAAATTACGTCATATCCCGTTTTGCTTGTCCGCAGAGCCTTTTTAAAATCTTTCTTTTTCACTATTTAGTCTGTGATGATCAGTGTAGTCTAATAGCTTTTAAATCGTATGATGTACTTATAGGACGTACTCACTACGGTCGTCGCAATTTTAAAACCTAAAAAGACCTAATAACACCGGGACAAAATAATATGTCACGCAATGTTACAATTGGATAGAGTGTGATAGTCCTTTCAAATTGTCACTGAAAACGATCGAAACAGAGACTAAAAACCATCGTTGAAGATTTGTGTATGGAGGGGTGTGAATAGGGGTATGCAAATCCGCCGATCCGTCATGATTTATTAGCCAAATCCGCTGTTAAAATTGGGAAAGATATTTTCAAAATCCGCCGATCCGTTTGTCTGTTCACCCCGCCCTGTATGCCGTATGACATAAAATTTTAGGGTCAATTTTGTGAGCCTACCATCAGGGGGTAATTTTTCGACGGTGCATGGTTATAACTTTTTAAATACGTGAGATACATTAAAAATCCGCGAGTAAGAACAAGGGCCCAGTTGTTGGAAGGCCGATTATCTTTTATCCCAGGGTTAAATTTAACCCGGGTTTATTTTTCTTCTGTTCAAAAGCATTTTCTCGGATAATTTTCTCTGTTATTTTAAAGAGCATCCAATCATCAACTTGTTGGCAAAAAGAATTAAACTGAATTTACTTTTTTTGATATGAAAGCTTAAAGCCCTGGCCCTGGTTGTTCAAACGTTGGATAGTGCTATCCACCAGATAAATCACTATCCAGCGGCTAAGTATTACGGAAATCAATTACGCTATCCGCTGGATAGTGATTTATCCGGTGGATAGCGCTATCCGACGTTTGAACAACCGGGGCCTGCCGTTTTCCTGTTAACTAACAGATAAGCAAAGGCGACTTGTGGAGTGGTCTGGAAATTACGATTTAGTGAAGTAACGTTTGATGGTTAAAAACGTTTGGCCCTCAAAAGTTGAAACTAGTGGCTTGTCGAGCTTTTGGTGAGAAATAAAAACTTTCCAGTGTTCAGTAGTGTTCTGAAACTTAAGACGCTGCCAGTCGTCATCTGCACAACTACGAGAAAATCAAATTCTTAGAAAAGACTCAGGTTTTCTCACCAAAGATATCGACTTCTTATGATGGTCTATCAAGCAAAGGATTGAATGGAAATGCAAGAATATTAGTAAAAAAGAGCCCCGAGCGAAAGAGTACAATTGCCAAGTTGGGGAGCGAAGTTCATGATACGAAGGATATTTCCTGGATGGGCGTATCAGTTGTCGATTAATTTTTGTGACCTTGGTAAATTTCCAGTCGTTTATAATTCAATGGCTGTAATATTACGTGACAAATGATCGCCCTTTTTCTTGATTTTGTCAGTTGGCTCCTTTAATATGTAATAATTTGGCTTAATGTTCAGTCACATGGAGGATGTGGTGAAAATAGGCGGCTCTTGCTGTGCATGGTTCGCAAATTTAGTTGTCAGTGCATGGTATTAGTTTTCAGTGATTTTAAGGCTCACAGAGACTTAAGCATGGTTAAAAATAAAAAAAGCATGTCTTAAGCATGGCTGAAAATCAAAAAAGCTTTTTCGCTTTGTTTTTCAAACACTTTCAGCGGTGCTATGCTGATCAAAATTGTGGTTTGAAACGTTCCAACATTTCTCCAAATTTCTTTATGAGTCAGACATTTTAGTACGAGAAACAATTGGATCACAGAAACATAAACGTTTCACTAACTTTTAAGCCAGTGGACGAAATCCAGTGCTGCAGACCATTAAATTTGAACATTTCACAAATTACTTCGACATGCACGGTATACAGAGACAGAGTATACTATTTTTCTTTACACTTTTGTTTGAAAAAAAAAAAAAACGATTGAAATCATTGCATAATAATTCCTCTGGTAGTAAGATGGTGTATGAGCCTACCTCTTGATACGAGCAGGTTAATCTTTTGAACGAAACAAAGTGAACATTTATGTTCCAGCAATTTTTCTAATCTTGAAACATCAAAATAAAATAGCTGTGTCAGTTGGTGCTCAAACCTGAGTTCGATTTCAGAGGAAACAGACTAGAAATTCGCTAATTTCATCAAGTTATTCACACATTGCATTGCGCAGCGGAAAGCGCTGTAGGCAAAATGTAAACTTTTCAGCTGACTTTTTCTATAAAAAACGGTCAATTGACAGATTTAGTGCGAACATATCAAGGGTGAGTTAGGCCCAGTTCAGATGTCGTGCTTCTGCCATGCCGAACTTAATTGTAATTTGGTTCGACTGTACCACGGCAGGAAAACAACTTTGATTCAGACGTCGTGCTAGAGTCGAACCAAATTCAGGATTGACTGATGCCTTGTAACAATTCTTCTCCCAGCCCCCCGTGGGAACGCAATCTCGCCAAAATACATTAAAATAATTTATGAATTTTGTTTTGCGCGGCAGAAGCACGACGTTTGAATCGCTGCCGTGCCAGAGTCGTGTAGCACGGCAGCGCTTGTCGAACTTAATTGCTTGCCGAACTTAATTCAAAAGTTTGATTCGGACGCCGTGCTTCTGCCGTGCTTTTGTCGAACTTAATTCCTGAATTTAGTTCGGCACGTACGGTAGAAGCACGACGTTACTTGTATCCAAATATATTGCAGTGTGCAAAAATACGTGTAACAATGTGGTCCGTATGCATTGAATTGGGTTTGGTTTAACGAGGAAGTCTTTACGGTTTCCAACTCGTTCTGACCTATTCATAGATGCTAACTCTCTCGCTTAGTCTCTCTAAAAGTTTGAAAGTGTCTTCTTTCTGCTCGATGACTTTGTGTTTGATTCTTCTTATCAAACATTTCAAATAAATGTTTGCTTGACTTAATTTCTTTGCAAAATGACCAAAATAATAAATCGGACGTAACAAAATCAATCTTAGCACTCCTCGGAGATGAAGAGACTTCTACCGTTGCGTTCGATTGATCGCATTCCGTCTATTCCCGAAATAAGAATACGCAAAAGTTTTGTTACAAAACTCTAATTCTAGATATTGCAAAGCGATCAGTGCTAAAGCAAATGATTTCTAGGGCTTATTTCATTTACTCTTATTTTGGAATACGGTCAATCGAACACGCCCTAAGAGAACCTTGACAAGTCTTCTTAAGAAAACATGATATCGAGGTTCGAATTGGTATAAATGTTAGTTAATTTGGCTGTCTTTACACTAGGCTGTTAAGTAAGACTTAAGAGCTGCTAAGTTTTACTTCGCAAAAAATTCGTGTGTGAAGGCCTAAGTAAAATCTCAAGTAACTTTACTTTGCATCTCATTAAAGTCGGAAAGTTGAAACGATTCAAGAAAGTTTCAAGCGACTTGAAAATTAAAACCGACTTAGCTGACTTCCGGTTACTTAAGGTTTCTTGAGGTTTGAGAAAGGCGAAACACGTCAATCAATCGTAATTATGTTGAGTTGGAAATTAGCCTTGAGTTAACCTGAAGTAGAAAAGAATCGGTTGTGTGTGAAGCTGTATTTTACTTGACCTGATCAAAAGTTACTTGTCTTGAATTATTTCTTAGCTTATTTAGGTTCTAGTGTAAATACTATCGTTGTTTGAGGATCAGGGAATCAGACGGCTGCGCCAAATTGGAATCATGTTAATTTTCCATAAACCAAAGATGTGAATAAACTCATTAAAACAAAGAAAGAGCTGGATACCTCCGCCGCCGTTTCCGATTTTACTATATTTGGCAAAACCCTGACTTAGTATCGCTATAATGTAAGGTCCAGTTCATAAACTAATGAAAGACGATTTTTCTTTGACCAGACCCTCCGTGGGACTGTGCAAGGAATCGGCTTTAATAATATCACTTAAGTTTGAGAATTTTACACCCGGATATTTCGTAGAACTCCTTAGCTTATCCGGAACAACAAATCACCTTGATACTGATGGGCAAACGATCAATTTTATAGGAAAAATTTCACTTGATGGTTTATAATCTTTGACTTCATAAACGGCAGCACTCGACCTTTGACAGTCTTCACAGGTGAGTTTAGCTAAAATCATATTATGTAAATAAACAACAATGGGACACCAAAACGAGGGCAGGTGGCAGAATGCTTCATGCGTAGCGTCTAAAAATCAGAGCTAAATAGTGTGAGAATTTTTTCTCACCTGATAGAACAAACAAGGAAAATATTTCCAACATAGTATTTGAGGTCGGTAAAGCATATGTAATGAGCTGGAATTTTTTGTAAAACTCCTAACCACAATATGGGGTCCAGGTAGGTCGATTGCTCTATTTATTTTGTCACAGAGAGTTATAAACAAATGTCATTTATTCCTCAATAGGCTGTTTGAAATTATCGGCCAGACAAAACTTCAAAGCTTTCATTTAATGGGTAACGAGCACGTCATAATTAAGTGAAAGGGAGAAATCCTCCTCGCTATATATATAGCACTATATGTGTTAATCGGTCGACGTAGTGATTTAAACTAACATATCGAATCCATAAATATTAAGCATTATTGGTCTTCTTGGGTCCTGAAAACAGAAGTTTAATTTCATCGCGGTCGCTTTAGCGTGAAGTTGAGAAACACGGGAAATATGGCTTAGAAAAGGAGATTTGACATTTGGTCAACAGCTCAACCGGGATGTGGTCATTAGGACATTTCCTAATCGATATTTTAAACGTAAGCTTTTACTTACTCACTTTTTGCCTTTGATCCAGATTGTTGCTATGGATTTATTCCGTGTGTATGGTGCTACTTTCAGCTTCTACAGATATTGCAAAAGGTGGGCGTGTCTAAAAATGAACTATAACGATAAAATTTGTTTTTTTTACGTTCTGTCAATTATTGAAGTAAAAGAGATAGGTGTTGGGTCATTAATTTGATTTTTTAGCATCTTATGTACAGAATATGTGATTAAAATCGTGTAACCTATCGCCTAGTTGTGTCATGAAAAATTAGTCAAAATTATCGAATGGCAACCCATGGGTCTCTGACAAAAATTTGATTCATGATTTGTTTCAACCCTGGACCGAGCGGATGCCCCTAGTCAGACAAAAAATACCCGTTTCAAGATCCGTTGATAAAGACAGATTCAATGAGTCAATATCAAAACTGTAATCAAAGTAGACACCGTTCTGTTTTTCACATCAGTAAGATCATCTATCTGACACGGATTCTGGGGCGGATATCCCGTCTGAGACGAATGATACGTCTCTATTGTGAAAAAGGCTTTTTTTTGGAGAAAGAAAGACTTGTTAATATATGGCATCATAAAACTAACGAAACTTTAGCTACCTTTGGGGGTCTTGAAAATGCCAATATTCCCACCCAATTGCATATACGATGTAACTGACTAGAAACGCAGGCAATGATAATACTCGATTGCCCTAATTTTATTGTTGACTAAAATATTTAACGCCGTAAACTATAGGTAACTGCAAAGATTTCGACTTTGAGAATGGCGCTGCAACATTATCTGAATGGACCAAAACTGGACACGCATTCGATGGCCAACCTACTTATGGAGACAATGCCCGCATACGTGACCCCAGAATCAACACTAACGTCCAAGGCGACTGGTGGATAGGCACCTTTGAGAACAGGTCTAATCCTGAGGAAGATGGAGGATATATGGCAGGCGATTACCCAGTGGGGACGCTGTCTTCTCCAAAATTCCGTATCATTGGTCCAAAAATGTCCTTTCTTCTTGGCGGAGGCTGTGATGTGGGGCAAATTCGGGTCGAGCTGCTTGTAAATGGTCAGGTTGTACGCGAGGCTTTCGCTGACGAATGTCGTGAACACATGAGAAGAAGAGAATGGGATGTGCGACAGTTTAAAAACCAATTTGGTCAAATACGTTTAGTTGATGCATCAAGAAAGGGACACATAAATTTTGACGACTTGTGGGGAGATTTTACTTGCACTGGTGAGTGAGACAGATTGTTTTATTTACAAAAGGAATTTATTGATAGCAGTTTTCAGTCCCACAAATATAATGATTGATCATTAATACAACTATTTTAACCTTTTTAAGTCCTTAACCATGCAAAAATCGACTTCGACGAGCACCATCCTTATTGCCGAATGTACTGAGGAAGCTAGAGTAACGTCAAAGTTTGGAACCTCATCCTATACGTTTTGAACATTTCAACAGTGAATTTGTATGTGAAATCAAATATTGAGGGGTGAAATTAGGAAATAATCTCACGTGTGTTTTATCCAAAATTCTAATTCTAATTTTCCTAGTCTTGTAACATTTAGCCTTTAGGGGACAAAGTACGCACACAGTCATATTTTTTTACTTGTTTATCTCCTCGAGAACTCTAAGCACTGAAAAGTTTAGGAAATAAATTTCGGCTTAACTTCACAAGTTTCTGAATTTGTCGACACAATACCTGTTAGAATCCTTGTTGAAGTGTTCTTTCGTGTGTTTAGGTTTCCTAAAGCGTCTTTTAATGCCCTGACATCTTTATTCTTAAATTTCAAATTTTACTCTCACCACATTCTCTTTCATTTTGCAGGTAATGAGACAAATAGTGTGAATTTACAAGATTCTAGCTTTGCAGGAAAAAATAATACAGACAATGAAGGTATGTGCTCTTAACTTTCACTGGTAAGAAATATAAGGAAACTACAGAGAATTGTAAAAAATGCAGCGGCAAATTTGATTTTTACGTTAACTGCTATTTTCAAATAAAACGCGACATCAGTATTTTATTTTTTGGGTGTTAAATACCTAAAAGAGGACCAAGCGTCTAGCCTGCGAATACAGCCTCATATCGTTCCTTGTCACTTAACGCCAATATGAAAATTGCTTTTCAGTTTCTTCGATTTACAAACCTGCTTCACTTTGCTGAATTTGGTAAATTCTACAATTTTATATAGATATGGCTAATTCAAACAATTTGGTAACATCCATTAACGTCAACATGAGAATTTATTCTTTTCTTTGATTTACAAACCTGCTTCATGCTGAATTTGGTAAATTCTACAATTTTATATGGAAAATGGCCATTTTCAAACAATTTGGTAACGTCCATATTGAAGTACCGTAAAATTCCGAAAATAAGCCCTGGGGCTTAATATATTTTTCAAAGGCCCTTTTTGAGGGGCTTATACTCGGAGGGGCTTTTGTACGGAGGGAAATCTGCGTTTCAAAATCGATTGGGCTCGCTTATAGTTGGAAGGAAATGTTACCGTTTTTGCTTTGCTTTACTTTGTATTTGAGGCCAATTTCTAAGTACAAGGCCCCGGGTGCTTATATTAGGAGGGGCGATTTAACGGAGGGTTTTTTACGTTACGAGTTTGGGGGGCTTATGTGCATGGACGGGCTTATTTTCGGAATCTTACGGTAAATCTTGCAAGGCCCAGAAACGTTTTGCAAAATTATTACAGTCACTTTCTTAATTAAATTTTCTAAGTTTAACAGATCAAAGTTAAATTTTTAACGTTGTAATCACTTTTTGTCTCCGTTTAGGTGAAAAAGACGATTTTGTTGTTGTTGACGAACCATTAGTTGCTGTGAACCCAAACGCCACTAAATCTCATGAAAGTTTGTTAACAGGAACGGGTATAAATCAGCATTATTTATTCGTTATCGAGCAAGTCTTCAATTACTTAACCTTACTGGTAATATTCTCTCTCTTTGGCCATACCTCTACCGTGGATGTTGGCCACAAATTGCTAGAAGTATCTCGTATGACATTAATATACCGTAAACTGGTACTTATAAGCATCCCCCCGAATTTAGACCCATCTACCTAAGGGACCGGTCATTATTGATCACCTGGGTGGGGTGGGGGCGGAGAATTTTTTTGGGGGGGAATCACTTGATTTTAAGGAGAAAAAAAGGGGGGATCAGTCGTAACAGAGAACCCAAGTGGGGGATCAATGAAAACTTTGGAAGCATTCAGAGGGGGGACCACTCAAATTTGCTTGGAAAATGAAGACATGGTGGGGGCGATCGCGAAAGTCATCAAATGTTATTAGGGGGGATCACTTCAGTGAAGTAACAGTCAAAGAGGGGATCGGCTAAATCTCACCTTGTTTAGCCCTAAATCTACCCCCCAGGCGATAATTATGACCGGTCCCTAAAATATTACTTCCGGTTATAACACCCCTCTAACTTGTATTGAAATGAATTCGATGTATAATTCCGAAAAAAAACAACAACAACAACAAAGACAAATAACAAAAGCACCTCAGAGATTCAAACGCCGATGTTCAATTTATTATTTGAATCTGATTCTTGATCTTTAGGTTGAAAAGAAAGGTTTTTTGGAACCAGGAACGTTGAATGTGTTTATAGTAGAACTATTTTCTTTCTTTATTTGATACCATTAAAAAATCTCTCTGCTACAATCCCGAGTAAAACAAACTGGTGAAACATTTATATTCTGAATGTCACTTTCCTACAGACGATGAATATGGTGCACTCCAGAAGGCTGCAAGACCGCAAGCGCCGATGCAACAGAACCCCATTCAAGCAGGGAGCGGTAAGAAACGTGAATTCGCTCACATAAATTATTCTTCTGTGATGATGGAAAAATAAGGGCCTGACAGAGATATATTCAGCCATTTTACAAAGGGGAAGGGAAGGCAAGGCAAGTGGAGGAACGTTCCAAAACGTCTGAAAAGTTAAAGACCATTAGTAACGTTTCTGTGTTTATCTTCCAGATTTATCTCCGCACTTTCTCAAAGGAACAAAAATCAGTAATTCCAATATGTATACAGCACCAAAGCGTCTTTCATCAAATGCTGACTCTGTTTCAGACGTCGCGAATGCCTCGCTCGATACGCTTGGTGACGAATCTGCTAACAATATGTCCGATCTCACTAACGGTCAATTGAGGAATCCTACAGGTACATGTAAAAACAATTATCAAATACGTCTGTTTGAAAATATTGTGAATGCGGTAAGGACTAACAGTCCCGTCACCCTACGGCGGGCTTCTAAAAAGCTTTCCTTGCCATTCTAGTCTTATGAGACGAAATACTAGACTTGCATAGCTAGCTGATAAAATTTCACCAATGTGCTGTGATCTAAATAAAGAGTTACCTTGAAGTTCGTGCATAAAAGAGATGGGTAACGGTGAGGATTTGCGGGTAACTCTGATTCTACTACTCCTTACTTACTGAGCCCGTTTCTTGCTCCTCCTGCCCTTGCGCCCTCCTTCCTATGTCACGAACATTTACTTGGAGTTGATGGTAAGCCCAGCATATTCCTTCGACGCCGCATGTTCATTACTTGTTATAAATATGTTCAAACACCAAACGGTTTGCATAGAGTATTCATTTTTGCTTATTTCTTCCTTCCACCTACTTTTTCGTTACCCTAATTTTTTCCAAATACGCCTCCCACACGAAGAAATTCCTTCCACTATACAGCACTTCAGTGCATACTTGAGAATTTAATCATGGTAAGCTGTTATCACCATCTCTTTGCCAGTCAGCATTTATGACCAAAATGTTTAATCCTGTACATTTTAGGTAACTGCATATATTTCAACTTCAACAATGGCTCTGCAACACTTTCTAAATGGAACGAAACTGGACCGGCATTCGACAACGAAGGAGGGTTCAGAGAGGATTACCCTGAAGGGACGCTTACCTCTCCAAAATTCCGTATCATGGGCCCAAAACTGTCCTTTCTTCTTGGCGGAGACTGGGATTTAGGGAAGATTCGGGTTGAGCTGCTTGTGAATGGACAGGTTGTACGAAAGGCTCTCGCTGACAAAGGTCGAGAAAACATGAGAAGGAGAGAGTGGGATGTGCGACAGTTTAAAAACCAATTTGGTCGGTTACGTTTTGTTGATGCATCAGGAAACGGACACATAAATTTTAACGACTTGTGGGCAGATTTCGCGTGCAGTGGTAAGTGAGTGTTTCGTTCACAAAGTTAATTTGTGGCATTGACTTAGTCAAAAATATGATAGCGTAGACGCTCTTGATAGGCTTGGTAAGAACTGTACAAAAAACAAGTCCGTTTCCACAGGCACAGTGATCAGTTTTCCGAGTGATCCCCCTAGAAAGAAAAAACACTAACTGAAACAAGTCCCCTGCCTTCTCCTTACTTTTTGAGACAATTTTTCCCTTCCATCTACGTTTTCGTCTGGTTGCCAAAACTGTCGCCCATACCTCATTTAGTCGTTTATTCATTTCCCTTATACACAGCCCTGAAGTGCATACGATAATTAAATTACTTTCAGCTCTAAAACACAACAGAAAGGTCTCTCATACCTTGTTAGGTTTGTTGATGAAACTGTTTAATCCCATAAATTTTAGGTAGTTGCAAATATTTCAATTTTAAAAATGGTTCTACAACACTATCGAAGTGGAACAAAACTGGACCGGCATTCGACAACGAAGGAGGGTTCAGAGAGGATTATCCTGAAGAGACGCTGACCTCTCCAAAATTCCGCATCATCGGTCCAAAGATGTCATTTCTTCTTGGTGGAGGCTGTGACATGGGGAAGATTCGGGTTGAGCTTCTTGTGAATGGACAGGTTGTACGAAAGGCTCTCGCTGACGAATGTCGTGATATCATGCGAAGGAGAGAGTGGGATGTGCGACAGTTTAAAAACCAAATTGGTCGGTTACGTTTTGTTACTGCATCAGGAAAGGGACTCATAAATTTTGACGACTTGTGGGCAGATTTCTCGTGCACCGGTAAGAGTTTGGTTCGCGCACAAACTGAAGCTAATTCGCGGCATTGAATTAGTCAAAAATACAATAAAGTATAGACGCTCCTGATAGGCTTGTTGAGAATTCTGAAAAAAACAAGTCCGTTCCCAATGACACAGCGATCAGTTGTCGGAGTGAGCCGCCAAGTAAGAACAAACACTAACTGATAAGTATATCTGACTGGCTCTGACTGCATTAAGGAACAGGTGATCCATTACTCTATACGGAAGATCTCAATGAAGTCATGATATTCACATTATTTTATGAAGACGAAAAGCTCATTGGGGTTCAATCTACTAACATTTACTCAATAGTTATATCAATCTTTAAAAGTCAGCTAATAAATCCGCGCACGTTTTCTTCCTGTTACAAAAAAACATCTCTTGCAGGTGATGAATCCGATGCAGTCCAGGCTGATTCAAAGCTGGAGGGAACGCTACAAAATACACTAGAACAAAAAGGTAAGAAGCAAGTACTTTTAGTTTTTAATGCATGAAACAGAGGGGACTGAGGAAGTGAGGGGTAAAGTAAAAATTCCCAGCTCAATACTTTTTTTGCCAGTCTCTTCCCTCTTCCTGCCTTTAAAGCCTCTTTTCTAAATTGTCGTTCACATTTGTTTGAAGCTAATGATTATTATGCAGCCCAGCAATTTCCGTCAAAGCCGCATACACCGGTATATAATACGACAGCTCAAACACCTAAAGGTCAGCAACAAGTCCCTTACACTTCTCCTTACTTTTTGAGGCAATTTTTCCCTTCCATCTACGTTTTCGTCTGGTTGCCAAAACTGTCGCCCATACCTCATTTAGTCATCTATTCGATCCCTTTATACACAGCCCTGAAGTGCATATAATAATTAAATTACGGTAAGTTCTACAACACAACATACAGTGTCTCTCATACCTATAGTTAGGTTTGTTGACAAAAGCGTTTAATCCCGTAAATTGTAGGTAACTGCAAATATTTCAGTTTTAAAAATGGTACTGCAACACTATCGAAGTGGAACAAAACTGGACCGGCATTCGTCAACGAAGGAGGGTTCAGAGAGGATTACCCTGAAGGGACGCTTACCTCTCCAAAATTCAGAATCATCGGTCCAAAGATGTCCTTTCTTCTTGGTGGAGGATGTGATATGGGGAAGATTCGGGTTGAGCTGCTTGTGAATGGACAGGTTGTACGAAAGGCTCTCGCTGACGATTGTCGAGAAAACATGCGACGGAGAGAGTGGGATGTGCGACAGTTTAAAAACCAGTTTGGTCGGTTACGTTTTGTCGATGCATTAGGAAAGGGACACGTAAATTTTGACGACTTGTGGGCAGATTTCTCGTGCAGCGGTAAGTGAGTGTTTCGTGCACAAAGCTAAATTGTGGAATTCAATTAGTCCAAAACAAAATAGTATAGACACTCCTAATAGGCTTGGTGAAAAAAAAAAAACAAACAAACAAACAAGTCCGTTCCCACTGACACAGCGATCCGGTTGTCTTAGTGATCCGCCAAGTAAGAACAAACACTAACTGATACGTACATTTGACCTGCTCTGACTGCATTAAGCAAAAGGTGACCCATTACCCTATAGAAGATCTCAATAGAGTAATCATATTCTCCATATTTTAAGACGACTAAAAGCTGATTGGGTTAAAATCTAGTAACGTGTATTCAATAGTTATATTAATCTTAATAACAAATCCGCGAACGTTTTCTTGCTGTTATAAACAATACCTGTGTTTCTTTGAAAAACTATACTTATAAATGTTACTTGCAGGTGATGAATCCGAGGCAACGTTACATTATACACTAGCACAAAAGGGTAAGAAGCAAGAATGTTTTGTTTTTAATGCTCGAAACAGAGGGAACTGAAGAAGTGAGGGGTAAAGTAAGAATCGCCAGCTCCATACTTTTTTGCTAGTCTCTTCCTTCTTCCTGCCTTTGAAACTCCTTTCTAAATTGTCGCCCACACCTGTTTGCAGATAATGCTCATTATATAGCCCAGCAAATTGCCTCAAAGCCGCATACACCGGTATATAATACTGCAGCTTAAACACCTGAAGGTCAGCAAGGAGTCCCCTGCACTTCTCCTCACTCTTTAGTCTTTATTGAATATACTACGTAGTATAAATGCATACCTATATTTACATGTTTTATATTACTAGTGTAAAAGTAATAAATAAAGTATATTTAAAATACAGTCTATTTATAAAACTAGATTTAAAACGTTCCGTAATCACACAGGGTAGCTAATAGGCTAGCTTGTTTGAGTTCTCAGACGTTTTGAAGATTCTTTAACTCTGGGCAACAAATTATACAGCGGATGAGTAGGCAGGCAACTAATCTTCTTAGGATTGACCTGTCTGTTTTTTCAGGCAAATCGTTAGCTATAGCATAGGACATAAAACGGTGTTTATGACATCTGCAAAGCTACTGCGGCACAATATTAAGTTCAGGCACGAAGGCTACATACACCGGTAAAACCATACGAAATTTTAGGTAAAACTAAAGACTGAAATAAATAAGTAATTTCCAGTTGATTATATCCAGTTCCTTCCTTCCTTAAGCTCCTTAAAACGTAGAGTCACTTATTCGCTTCGAAAAGTCGTCGTTTAATACCTTCAGTAAATCTACCATTGTGCTGGAAAGTCACACCAAGTAGTACTAGGAATTCGGCCTGCTTTATGTTGCCAGTAGGAGTAGGATTTGCTCGCCATTTCTTCTTCAAAACTAATTCTTTGCGTTTGGATAGATTGCATGGCATACGGTTTGTCCTTGACCAGCAGGTATAGCGAAACTACATTACCTGCACAATCAGTTCTGCCTTATTTATAATAACTTGCAGCATCGGCACATTTTCTTAGAGAAGTATCAAGACAGCTTACAAGATCGAAATCATTGATAAAAAGATTAAAAAAAAATAAGGGCCACATTTTTTGAGGCAACTTCTCCCGTCCATCTACTTTTTCGTCTGGTTGCCAAAACTGTCGCCCATACCTCATTTAGTCATCTATTCCCTTTAAACACAGCCCTGAAGTGCATACGATAATTAAATTACGGTAAGCGCTACAACACGACATAAAGTGTCGCTAATACCTAGTTAGGTTTATTGACCAAAATGTCTAATCCCGTAAATCGTAGGTAACTGCAAAGATTTGGACTTTTCGAATGGCTCTGCAGCACTATCTAACTGGAGCAGAACTGGACGGGCATTCGACAGAGTTAGAGGGTTTAAAACAGAGGATTACCCCGTGGGGACGCTAACCTCTCCAAAATTCCGTATCATGGGTCCAAAACTGTCCTTTCTTCTTGGCGGAGGCTGTGATTTAGGGAAAATTCGGGTTGAGCTGCTTGTGAATGGACAGGTTGTACGAAAGGCGTTTGCTGACGAATGTCGCGATAACATGCGAAGGAGAGAATGGGATGTGCGACAGTTTAAAACCCAGTTGGGTCAAATACGTTTGGTTGATGCATCAAGAAAGGGACACATAAATTTTGACGACTTGTGGGGAGATTTCACGTGCAATGGTGAGTGTTTCTTTATTGAAACAAATTCGCGGTATTTAACTTTTTGCAGGTGCAATTGTCGCTCCTGCTAGCCTTGGTGGCAATTCTGCAAACAGTTGCAGGTTTGTTCTTTGTGACGACAGGGAACTATAACCCGGAGTGAGCAGCCGCCATGCTCACACACACGTGTCTATGTAACGGCGATTTCACGAAACGGTGAACGTATAGACCAGTAGTTTAGAGCACTTTGCCCGCGAGAATGGAAGTTCCGCTCTGCGTTCGAAGTATAAGAAATTAGAAACAAAATAACATTAAACGTCATTGAAACTTTGAAAGCTCCCTTTTTAGGTCTGTAAGTTTTAATGACTGGTTGGTTTATACTTCGAAACGTTATTCTAGATTCTTGCGAAAATCCTTGTTCAAGTACTGAATATGAAAACGCTCTGACAAAAATTACATCAAACGAAATTTGCTCGTCCTGGTTATGTCCTTTTGATGACGTTTAGTAGAAAGATTCAACAAGAAATGAAGTCTTTGTGACTGGTTCTGAAAGTATCGAGGAAAACCTAACCCATTGTCTATGAAAGGCATCATATGGGCGAAAAGAAATTTGGTTTAATAAAACCGACGCTTTGTGCCGGTCATTTATTAAGTGTTCTGTTATCCTTAGGAACACTATAGTAACACTTATTAACAAGGTCACTTGCAGGTGATGAGTCTGATGCAATCCAGTTTGATTCAAAGCCACAGGAGACGGTGCAACAAACACAAAAAGGTTAGAAGCGAGTATTCTTCAGTTATAGGATCAGTGGCAAGTATTTTTTTATTCATACAAAACTGAGAGGAGGGAAAATGGGGGTATATCTCTCTCCTTCGTACTTTGTGATCTGATTGTTCCTCCCTCGTCCAAAACTGTCGCCCAAATTTAGTCATTCCCTGTCCTACAGCCTTGAAGTGCATACCTGATCCATGGTCAGCTCTACGCCATCAAATGTCTCTAGTTAGGTTTCATTGTTAACCAAAATGTTCAATCTGCCGTGAATTTTTAGAAACTGTAAAGATTTTGACTTTGAGAATGGATTTGCCTGATTATCTAAATGCAGCAAAACTGGACGTGCATTTGACCAAAATGAAGCATTTATAACGGAGGATTACCCTGTGGGGAAGCTGATCTCTTATAAAATTCCGTATCATTGGCCATAAACTATCATTTCGTGTTGGTGGAGGCTGTGATGTAGGAAAGATTCAGGTTGAGCTGCTTGTGAATGGCCAGGTTGTGCGAAAGGCTTTTGCGGACGAATGTCGCGAAAAAATGCGAAGGAGAGAGTGGGATGTTCGACAGTTTGAAAACCGAATTATTGAAATACGTTTGGTTGATGCACCAGGGGCACAAAATATCTGTTCAGAAGACGATTTGAGATCTAGAATTTTCGGAACATTAGTTGTAAAATTTATTGCTTGCCTGCCTCTCCTAGGATTTTCGAACGTCTAAAAAAGTGGTATAATTGCCCATTTTTAACGGATTTTCTCCCTAAAAAGGTCCCCTAGAACTTTCAGAAGCCTTTTTTCTGGCTGAAATTTTCGAAAAGGTACGTTTTGATCCCTATAATTTTCGGATCACTAGACTTTCAGCTAGAAAAATTTTTTAGGGGATAAAAATATACCTATATCTACCGTTTAATTACTAAAATACGTTTAACAGGGCTATGTTTAAGTCCTTTTGAACTATATTCTCGTTGGATGCCCCTGATGCATCAAGGCAGGGACATAAAAATTATACAGCGAATGGAAGGCAGGCAGCTAATCTTCTTGGAGATATATTGTCCTGTCTGTTTTTTCAAGCAAATCGTTATCTATAGCATAGCATATAAAACGGCGTTTATGACTTCTGCGAAGCAACTGCTGCTACACAGTATTAAGTTCAGGCACGCAGGCTACATACACCGGTAAACCATACGAAACTTTAGGTAAAACTAAAGACTGAAATAAACGTTCAAATTCCACTAATTGATTATATCGTTCTTTCCTTATGCTCCTTAACACCAGAGGCACTTATTCGCTTCGAAAAGTTTTCGTTTAATATGTTTGGTAAATCTACCATTGCGCTGGAAAGTCACTCCAAGTAGCACTAGAAATTCGGCCTGCTTTTTGTTACCATTAGGACCAGGATAGTTCTTGTCCTTTCTTCTTCAAAACTAATTCTTTACCCCTTGGATGGATTGCAAGGCATGGAGTTTGTACAATCAGCATCAGCACAATCCGTTCGGCCTTATTTACAATACCTTCCATCTTAGTATCATGATCGTCATATTTTGTACGAGAAGTATCAAGACAGCTTACAAGATCGAGATCATCAATAAGAAGATTAAGCAAATAAGGGTCACTCTTTTTGAGGCAATTTCTCCCTTCCATCCACTTTTTCGTCTGGTTGCCAAAACTGTCGCTCATACCTATTCCCTTTATACGCAGCCCTGAAGTGCATATGATGATTACATTACTGTAAGTTCTACAACACCACATAAAGTGTCTCTCATACCTAGTTGGGTTTATTGACCAAAATTTTTAATCCCGTAAATTGTAGGTAAATGCAAAGATTTGGACTTTTCGAATGGCTCTGCAGCACTATCTAACTGGATCAGAACGGGACGGGCATTCGACAGAGGTGTAGGATTTAAAACAAATGATTACCCCATGGGGACGCTAACCTCTCCAAAATTTCGTATCATGGGCCCAAAACTGTCCTTTCTTCTTGGTGGAGGCTGTGATTTAGGGAAGATTCGGGTTGAGCTGCTTGTGAATGGACAGGTTGTACGAAAGGCGTTTGCTGACGAATGTCGTGACAACATGCGAAGGAGAGAATGGGATGTGCGACAGTTTAAAACCCAATTGGGTCAAATACGTTTGGTTGATGCATCAAGAAAGGGACACATAAATTTTGACGACTTGTGGGGAGATTTCACATGCAATGGTGAGTGTTTCTTTATTGAAACTAATTCGCGGAATTGAACTTTTTACTGGTGAAATTGTGGCTCCTGTTAGCCTTGGTGGCAATTCTACAAAAACTGCAAGTTCGTTCTTTGTGACGGCGGGGACCCATGACCCCGAGTGAGCAGCCCCCATACTCTCACACACGTGTCTATGTAACGGTGATTTCACGAACCGGTTAAAGTATAGACCAGGCCTGGATTGGTTGGATAGCACTATCCACCGAATATATCACTATCCAACGGGGAAGTATTAGGGAAACCAATTGCAGCATCCAGTGGATAGAGATCTTATCCAGTAAATAGCGCTATCCAACGTTTAAAACAACTGGGGTCAGTAGTTTGAGCACTTTGCCCACGAGAATGGAAGTTCCGCTCTGCATTCCAAGCATAAGAAATAAATAAATAAGAAAAAACATTAAAAGTCACTGAAACTTCAAAGGTTCCTTTTTTAGGTCTGTAGGTTTTACCGACTGGTTGCTTTATGTTTCGTTACGTTAGGCCAGATTATTGCGAAAATCCCTGTTAAAGTACTGAATGTGAAAACGCTCTGACAAAGAGTACATAAACCGAAATTTGCTCGTCCTGGTTATGGCCTTTTGATGATGTTTAGTTGAAAGTTCCAACAAGAAATGAAGTCTTTGTGACTGATTCTGAAAATATCGAGGAAAACCTAACCCACTGTCTATGAAAGGCATCATGGGCGAAAAGAAATTTGGTTTAATAAAACCAACTCTTTGTGCCGGTCATTTAAGTTTTCTGTTATTCTTAGCAACACTATAGTAACACTTATTAACAATGTTACTTGCAGGCGATGAATCTGATGCAATCCAGTTTGATTCAAAGCCGCAGGAGACGGTACAACAAACACAAAAAGGTTAGAAGCAAGTACTCCTCAGGTTTTATAGGATCAGTGGAAAGTATTTTTTCCATTCATACACAACGGACAGGTGGAAAAATGGGGGTAAATCTCTCTCCTTCGTACTTTGTGATCTGATTGTTCCTCCCTCGTCCAAAACTGTCGCCCAAATTTAGTCATTCCCTGTCCTACAGCCCTGAAGTGCATACTTGGTCATAATTTAATATTGGTGAGCTCTACGCCATCAAATGTCTCTAGTTAGGTTTCATTGTTAACCAAAATGTTCAATCTGCCGTGAATTTTAGGAAACTGTAAAGATTTTGACTTTGAGAATGGATTTGCATCATTATCTAAATGGAGCAAAACTGGACGTGCATTTGACCAAAATGAAAGATTTATAACGGAGGATTACCCTGTGGGGACGCTGACCTCTCCAAAATTCCGTATCATTGGCCATAAACTGTCATTTCTTCTGGGTGGAGGCTGTGATGTAGGGAAGATTCGGGTTGAGCTGCTTGTGAATGGCCAGGTTGTGCGAAAGGTTTTTGCGGACGAATGTCGTGAAAAAATGCGAAGGAGAGAGTGGGATGTGCGCCAGTTTAAAAACCGAATTGCTCAAATACGTTTGGTTGATGCATCAAGGCAGGGACATATGAATTTTGACGACTTGTGGGGAGATTTCACATGCATAGGTAGGTGTTCAATTTTCGAGACTTATTTGCGGCGTTGAATTTATCAAAGACATATTCATGATAGGCTTGGTGACACTTTTCCTAACAACAAGTCTATTGTCACGAAATATATTCGTGGATACTGAGTATAAAGGGTTTAGTTTTATCGTTTGATTCACGATTGTCACTTTGATGTTGATCGCGACGTTTCGACCGCACACTGCAGGTCTTCATCAGGCGATAGTGTCGATTTACTGAGGCCTGGTTCAGACGCCGTACTTTTCATCCGCCGAACCTAATTGAATAAGTTCGACTTTGGAGCGACGTTGGCGCGACATCTGATTCAGACGTCGCACCGTGTGTAGAGCCTAAGTTAAGTTCGACACACTCTGTCGCACTTAACGCTTTTGCCGCACCAAACTAAAACTGCCGTACCAAATTGATTCAGACGCCGCTCTTTTGCCGTACTTAATTCATCAGTTAGGTTCGGCTCATGAATGGAGCGGCGTCTGAACCGGGCCTGAGTCGAACTATTTGTACCAATGTGGTTTTTAGTGATTGGTGTATCACAAACCTTGCTCATGGTTGTTGGGTTTCGATCCAAAGGATTGTTGGCGTTGTGAGAGAAAGAAACTGACTCCTCAGCAGTCCGCTGCGGTGGAGATCTCATAATTATGGACACTTGACTTGAGACTGTCCAAGTATAAAGAGAACACTTCATATATCTGAGTGAATGATTTGATTGTATAAGGGAATATTTAATCCTAATTATAACAGACCCATTACCCTACTAATGGAGGCCTCTAAGAAGTAGTCATTATCATCTTTCTCTAAGGAGACGAAAAGCTCATTTGCTTTCATCTAAACCTTTGCGTAATAGTTAAATTATCATTGTCAGAGGATCAGCTGTTAAAACCTTCGTTCAGTGAATTATTGAAATATACGCTTACTGTTAAAGTTCTCTGTTATTCGTTGCGACACAAATACGCCATTTGAACAATGACGTCATTTCACTACTAAGACCATAATTCATTTCGTTTTTGCCCAGTTTCATATTAAAATTTGATCTTCCGAGAGAGGTTTATAACAAAGGTCCAATTTTCAGAAGAACCAAACACCCTGAGTATTCTTGTAGTAGTAGCATTCAAAAGACGTCATCGTGCAAATCGTCTATTTTAAATATCATTCGCAGGAGATGAAACTGATGCAGCCCAGATTACTTCAAACCCGTTAGAAACGGTGCAGCAAACACTCGGTCAACTACCAAAAGGTTAGAACGCAGTATTCATTTTGTTTGTATATAAATTTGTACACCAGGCCGTCTTTAGTTAGAACAAGTATCCTCATTAATGTTAGCACTGTCGTGCTTAATACATTGACTCTTAAATCGAGTAGTACTTTTTTTTTCAAAATTGAAACGCACTGTCTATAGAACATTTTGCATTATCGCCTTAGTTTATGCTCTCTATATCTTACAGGACAGAGTAGTCTGCTTGGAGGAACGAAAATCAGTGACTCTAATTTTTATACAAGACCCATCAGCCATTCTCCAAAGGCCACTTTTACTTGGAAGCTTGCGAAAGCCTCGCCTGATAGGCTTGGTGACAATTCAAGTAATCTGTACCTTCCCAAAGATGATGAATTGAGAAACCTGTCATGTAAGTTCAAATTGAGTTTAAGGTATTAGAAAAGTGCAGTTTTTTACTATAACTTTGGCTTGCTACTTTTGACTTCTTCAAGAATTTCGTTAAGCTAAAAAAAAATCAAAACAAAAAAAGTGAACTGAATGTTTTCCGTAAAACGTAAAAGCACTCGGTACGTTGTGTGTGCCATCTTTCTTTTCCGGTGCAACAGCCTTGTCTTCGATAACGTTTATATCTTTCGTTTTTTTTGCGTTAAAGATAAGATAAACCTCGTGTGGTGGCCTCTATTACATAGAATGCAGTTTTATATCCCCATTTGTAGTTCCTAGTTACAAGTCCATTTGTAGTTTCCTATTCTAGTTACAAGTGCTAAGAGTGATTAACAACTGCGTTGCTTAGTGGCGGTTGGATGCCTGTTATACCTAGGAGCTTCCACCATTGGCAGCCAGCTCCTAGATAGAGACCGCTCCCATGGCTGGGAAATCCTTGCAACCCAGGCATGAGCCCCCACGCGGCAATAGAGAAAGCAAGCACCCGTCGCACTGAGAACATCAGTGGAAAAAAGGGAAGGGAGGGGGGGGGGGGTAAGCATGAAGCATGAAGGTTCGTGGTAGATGCGCATCTCGGACACACCGCTGGCCAGCAAGGTGAAACAAGCGCTTCTTGTTGTTAATTGCATTAAATTACATTTAACCGCATTAAATTGTGTCTTAAATCTTAGGCAAATCCTTCCTTGTGAAAATAAAGACCGGCAAACCTTGGGACAACGATTTTCTTTTTACATCAAATGGAAATTATCAATCAACAAGGCGAGAAATCGAGGTTAAGGTGAGAAATGAAGAAACTTAACCATAAGTTTCAATGGACTCTAAATTTAAGATGACGGTGCCTTCAAATGACCACTAACTGTCTTTTTAAAGGTACTTGACGCTTACGAAGATGATAAAGATTTTCGGGGAGCTTTCTTTACCAAATTCAGGTTCGTGAAATATAATTCGGTTGGAGGAGAATTAACATTTAAATCCTATTTTTGTAGTATTATGTTTAAACCTAAGCCTGTAACAAGATCGAACCAAAATAGATTTGAGTAGAGCGATCATTATTGATGTTATTGCCATCATCAAGATTATCATCACTATCATTATCATCATCATCGTCAACATAATCAGCATCACCGTAATCATCGTTAGTGCCATCACCATCATCAACCTTACCATCACCATCATCATCATTATCATCATCGTCATCATCATGGTCATTACTACTATCATCATCATCACCACCATCACCATCACCATCACTAGCACCATCATCATATTCACTTTTACTTCTGTCTATCATTATCACCATTTGTCTGATCAACATTAAGGTCTTTACACTTTTTTCGTTGTAGTTCTTACGATGAACCAGGAGAGGTCAAAGCTTTCTTTGTATTAAGATTCAGAGCTGTTGGGAAATTCCTTGGAAAATTGATTGATAAACTTGGAGCAGGAAACGTTTCAGCAGCAGGTGAAATTTCACATTTAAAACTTTCTTGTGTTATAAACAATACAAGTATTTGATACTATATAGTGACAAATTGTAATTTCATTCTTGGCCATGACCGTACCATGACAATAATTGTGGAAATGGATAGATAATCTTTTCGTGGCTTTTTTGTTATGAAAATAGTTTAAAAATTTTAGATAGCCTGACCTCTTGTTTGTCCGATAATATAGGTTGCTTCGACACCTCTGACCAGTGTCCAAGTCCCTGCCCACTTACATGCGCGCCTTTATGCCAGTCGTCTTGTTGTCAACAATACATTCCTGCCCCAGCCGCTCCAGTCGCTCAATGCCCAAGTCCCTGCCCACAGACGTGCGCGCCTTCATGTCAGTCATCTTGCTGTCAGCAGCAAGTGGCTGCTCCAGTTACTCCACCAGTCACCCCAGTCAGTCAATGTCCTAGCCCCTGTCCACAGACATGTGCTCCTTCTTGCCAACCATCCTGCTGTCAACGACCTGTTTCCGCTTCCGTCGCACCATTAGCTACCCCAGCCGTTCCAGTAACTCAATGTCCCAGCGGTTGTCCGCAGAAATGTGCTCCTTCATGCCATCCGTCCTGTTGTCAACAGCCTGCTTCCTCTCCCGTCGTACCACTAGCTGCTCCACTCAGTCAATGCCCCAGCCCCTGTCCACAGAAATGCGCACCTTCATGCCAACCGTCCTGTTGTCAGCAGCATAATCCCGCACCAATTCCTCCACCAGTCCCAGTTGCTCAATGTCCTCAACCCTGCCCGCTGGCATGTGCGCCTTCTTGTCAACCCTCCTGTTGTCAGCGTTCTGGTTCTTCTCCCATGATCCCAGTCGCTCCAGTACCTTCATTCACTCCAGTCGCTCCTTTGGCTCAATGTCCCAGCCCTTGTTCACAGTCATGTGCGCCCTCCTGTGAGTCTTCCTGCTGTCAGCAGTATGCTCCAGCTCCAGCCATGCCTCAGCCAGTTTTTCCACCAGTACAACCTTTGAGGATAACAGTGTCTAACCCTCAAATCTCCTTCGAGCAACCATCACAGCAGTTGAACCCACATTTACCGGTTTATCCCACACGCCCTGCTGGCATGCAAGCGTTGTCTGGTTCCCAGTGCTCTGCGGGTTGTTCTCCAAATTGTGCACCAATTTGCTCGCCTACTTGCTGTCAGTTTTATGACGTTGGCCGTAGAAAAGGAAATGTTAAAAAATGGCTCCGGAGGCAAAGTCTACAGGAAGAAAAGCACTAAAGCCATGGAAGTTAGGCTGGATTTAGATCAGCATCTATAGATAAGCCAACAAAACGAAATCAGGACATAGAAGAGTATTGAGGCTTCCTTAAAACAGAATGCAAAGGAATCAGCTAAAAAGAAGACCTTTTGCGCTGTGATAACGACATGATAGCGTTGTAATGTTTCGAATGGACGTTTTTTGTAGAATACAAGACTGAAAATATTAGACGTCCAAAATTATTCATCACTTTTCATTGGAGGAAACTCAAGAGTTATAATGTTATAACGTTATTTCTTTTACATGAGGTGATTTTGATTTGAACATTTAACTTTATTAAAATTTGGGCGTTTGTCTAACTTGTTACTTTGTTATTAGAATTACAACACAAGCATAATTAATCACCTTCGAAAAGACGCGCATTGTCTGTGTAAAGCAAAAAGACGTCAGTTGTAAGGTGATTTGAAACCCCGCATCAAATGGCATTTAATTTTCCTATTACTAATTATTGTTAGAACTGAATTGATTTTGAGTATTTTGGTCCCATGAATCTGAGCCAGTCTGTATTTCACGATTTAGAGCCGTAATGCATGTATTATCGGACTGAATAAAGGAATGGAAACTCTTCGAGCCGGAATACTTCATTTTAATTTCCCTAAAATGTAAAATTTGCTTAGTACTTGGGCTGAGAAGGAACTGAAAGGGCGAGCTTTAATTACCTGTTAGCCATTTAATTTTTTCCGTCTTTTTTTCGGCAGTTGTTTTTCAATCAGGAAGGTTCACTTGGCTGTTTGTCCTGTGGCTTAATAGCTGGAAATTGAATCATAAAACTTTGTTTATCATACAGGTTGTTTCTGTTTAAATATGACAAATTAATACAATAACAAGTCGTGTTAAAGTGTAATATCGCTATAGACATTAATGTAAAAAATCCTCTTTGAACCGACGTTTTTATCTTTCCTTTATTGGTCTTGCTACAGCCAGAGACATGACCGACAAATTATAAGGGTCCGTAGGAGTTTTGCTTAGCTGACTGTTGCTCTAGTTCTCCACGGTTGATAAATTCAAGAATTTATGGTACCCGTTCATTTTACGCCTAGGTTGGCTCTTCTTTAAAAATATGGTTGGTGCATGTTGTGTGAGGGACTAGAGTCATGCAGAGGTATGCAGGCGCCCCATATAGCAACCACAAAACACTAACAAACGACGTAGTCACATCAGACTCCAAAAGATTAACAATCAAAGCCTTAGGTCGCAAACTAGATGCTGTCTTGACTTAAGTGACCTTTGAATAAGTCCCTACCGTATCCTAAAAGTTTAGATTGGGTAAAGGGTAATCTGTTCTTTCTAGAACAGGATTTCGTGACCTGGATATCGCATCATAAGGTAAGCAGCAATTTAAAGCTCTTAGGAAGGATCACCTGACGTAAACAGTGCAGGGAGGTGGATAGTTGCTGAAGCTATAAAACATTGAAACTCTTAGCAGTAAGTTATTCGCTAAAGCTCTAATTAATAAATAGTATTAGTTAATTACAATAGTCGACTGATCAACGCTATAGGAGAGTGCGAACAATATACTACTTGCCCACACAAAGTAAATCTTTCATCCTACACAGAAAAAATAAAAACTTGTGTAAGTCAAAGACGATTATGATCATGGCAGCAGGGTTTGGAGAGATCCGGATATTAATCTGTCAATTGAATTCCTGAATTTTCTCTGTCTTTTATATTGGCCCTGGCAAAATATTCGGTTACCATTAACGGAGCCCAGAAGTTCGGCGTCAAAAGTGAGTTTGCGCAGTAAAGAATTGTCGTCTCCAGAGCCAGTTTTCTTTTAGTCAGCTCCAAGAACACGATCGTTGGCGCATGCTCAAAGGAATCGTGGCATTGAGGTACGAACTTCACACACTCTCCTCTTTCATACAGGCCCTGTAAAAAAGAGAAGAGGGTGTGAAGTTCGTACCATAATGTTGCCCGTTTGCGGAATATTTGGAAAGAGGAAATCCGACTTTTTACATGCACAAAGTACACTTACAAATTGCAGGCTGGATAGAATGTGCGCGAAAGTAAGATCTTAATCAGATCGTTATTTTTTAGCGTTAAAAGTCATTGGAAGTGTTTAATGATGCAGAGAAGTAAAGGAATTTGTCTACCTCTAGTCTGGAATACCTGTTTTACACTCACTTGTCTCATAATGCTGATTCACGACAAAGGTAAATACTTTTACGGTTTCTTGTTAAATTTATAAAACCGTTTCTTTCTGATGGAAAAAACACCTTGTTTTTTGCGTATCATTACACACCATTTATCTGTATTAGTATTATGCTCTTGCTTTCCTTTGACGCCAAATCTTACACCCGAAGAGCGATTTCACTGTAGTTTCTCGTTAGTATATTGAACCGCGGTGGTGCAAATAGTCCCACTCAGTAAATCGACATTATCACCTAAAGAAGACCTTCAGAATGAGGTCGAAACGTGGCGATGATGTAACTGACTATCGTACAGCAAACGATAAAAATGCTTGATTTTGACCTTTAAGAGATGACGTTACTTATTATTTACGAGCTGAAAGAGATGTTCTTGTTGTAAAATATTTTTGAATATGAATAAAAAACGTTGAGCTGTTCTCTTAATTGATCCATCATTAATTTGCCAGATACTTGCGACTTTTCAGATGATCACGTTGCAAAAAACAAAAAACAAAAGACAATGAATTTTTTCCATGTCAAATTTCGATGTAGTTTTTTTCTTTAAATAACTCAGGCCCCGTCCACTCGAATCCGGATATTTTTGAAACCGCACCCTTTTTTATACAAATTTAATCGGCCTTCCGTCCACACGAAACCAGTGAATCCGCTCACTGTAACCGCATATTTTTGAAACTGCTCTCCGGAGTGGATTTTTTTTGGATCCGAGGGGTTTGGTAAATTCGTGTGCACCACTGAAACCGGGTAATTTTGAAGTCAACTCCGTCATAAACGCAGGTCCAGTCTTAAATAAAAACTTTTAAGCTTAAAATGGCGGCCAACAATGTTCTGTTTGCAACTTTGCTGGCTCTTTTCGCCAGTGTTATTGCATGTGTACCGTTGAGATCACTTTTACTATTTTGACGAAAACAATTACCTATTTCAAAAGAAGACTTGATATAATCTCGTCCAGATTTTAGAATCTTTTAGTTCAAGACGAAGGGTCGACAAACGATTTCGGGTTGTTTCAGCGCGAACAAGTGGCTCGTGGGACAACGTACAATCAGGCCTGGCCATTGTGCTAGATACAGCTACTACAACATTCAAAATGCCTTGAAATGCCACTCGGTTCACGCGTGCCTACTAGCTAGTATTAAATTAGCAAATGTAAATCACAGAAGCGTATTCGTGTGGATGGGCGAATCCAAACCGGAAACGTCAAACTCCGAATTCTTGTTGACGCAATAGATAGATAGATTAAGCATCACCTTTTCGGCAAACGGCACTGACAGCAAACGTGAATTTGTACCACGTGACCAAGTTTTCCATTTACTTATCGTTTACTGTTCATTATAATTACACGAAAATCGGTCGATTCACACCAATTCTATCCACAAAAATTGTTTTAAACTGTTTTTATCCGCTCATTTCTCATTTTGAAAATTTCTCAACTTGAATCTCACGTTTGCCGTTCGCCGTAAACGCGATGCCCATAATCTCTATAATATCAAGTGTGCGGTTTCAGCGTATCCGGATTCGGGCGAGCGTGGCCTTACTCAAAATAGGCTCAGAGCTTACGGATTCAGTTACTGATCGTAGAATAACTTCTTTGACTTATTATTGTTTAGTTTTTTTGCTTGAAACTTTAAGCCTATACAGGAGCGAATTACAAGAAGGTACGGATGATGTCTTTGACTTATCATATTTTTTGTTTTCTTTGCTTTAAACTTTAAGTCTCAGCAGGAGTGAGTTACAAGAAAGTAGGGTGCTACAAAGACAACGGACAGAAGAAACGACCTCTTCCACAGCTTCTATTTACAGATCGTCACTACCTGTCTTCTGTATACAGTGGCAGGAAATTTATCAAGGACAGCTTCGATCGATCTTATCTTGATGACCTGGTTGGACGATGCGCCTCAAAATGTAAACAGCTCGGTTACGATATTTTCGGGATAGGGAAATTTGGTAAGGGGGTTAATGAGACGTTGACTCTTTCTCTCTCTATTCTCTTTCCCTAGTTTATGTCCAGGTCATTATAATCGAAATGAGCGTCATCTTGTTTCTTTTCATAGTGACCTCAAGTATACAGAGATTACGTTTTTAGGTGTAGCGACAGTGCAAGGAATCTTGTCGTTTTATGGCCCTTAAAGGATATAGTGTTATCTTTTTCCCATGTTAATCACGTCGTCAACTTCTTCTTCATTTCTCTAAATTAGCTTTTATATTTCTGGCTGTAGCTTCTGGACAAGGCTTTGCTAAAAATAGTTCTCAATTTTAACCTTTGGGAAGCTTGGTATTTGGCTTCTAATTACCATAGTTTCCTTCTCCTTTTAATTACCATAACTTGTTTCAAGAAACCAATTAAACATTTAGAAGGATGCAGTGCTTTATCCTCTATCGCGGCTAGGTACATGTACTTCGAAGTCCGTGGTTAAACGTATCCAGCTGCGCCTCCTTTCCAATCTACTTCTCCTGGCTTATCTTTGAATGGACAAATTCAGGTCCCGTCCACACGTATCCGGAGATTTTTGTATCGGCAAATTTTTTTATGCGGATACAAAAATATCTGCGTCCACACGTAGCGTATACGAATCGTATACGACCGTCCACACGTATCCGATTCGTATCCGGACATCTCAAAGGATTAGTCAACAGAGCATGGAAAATCTCGCGCGGAAAAAGACTGGTTCTGATACTGTGACGTCAGCGTATACAAAAATCTACGGATACGAGCGTCCACACGTATCCGGATACACAGCGTATACAGAAATTTCCACTCTGGAGAGCGTATACAGAAATCTCCGGATACACCGAGCGTATACGGTGGACACGTGTGGACGCTAGGTGTATCCGCATAAAAAAATTTGGGGATACAAAAATCTCCGGATACGTGTGGACGGGGCGTCAGTGCAATTTATGATTTCATGCCACTCAAAAACGCTGACCTAGCAAACCCAAGACACGAGTTTTAGTCGTAAAAAGCCAATCATTTAGCAACTAAGCTGTACATGACTTATCTTATTATTTGTATATGTTTACAGCGGAATGTTACTCTGGCGATGGCGCATACAAGACATACAAGAATGATGGTCCAACTAAACAGTGCTATACTTCTAAATACCAACCATGCAACTTTGAATGTGAAAGCGTACCGTGCGCTGGAAGTATACATACTATTTTTGTGTACAAGTTAGGAACACGTAAGTTTGTATTACTACCATGCATATCTATTATAGCAGCCTTTTAGTTTCCCAAAAGCTGTTGTACTCATTAAGAGCAGGGCTTAAAACTAAACACGAATGCCACGCGCAATGCGCAATTAAATGGACGAACACGAGGCGCGTTCTACCTTCAGCAAGATTTTTGATTAATAAACCATAAATTTCATAGTGACTCCAAGGCTTGGAAAGAATAAGAATAAGGCTTTTCTTGTTGTTGTTGTTGTTGTTTTTTAAATTTCCTGTTTAAAATTTTATTTCCTTGCCTACTTCTTTCCTTTTTGATACCAAAATATTGCCGGCTTAGGCAACATTTCTCTATTTTTTAAACATTTTTCTACCTCTCATCAACGAAATATTCTAAAATATTTCTACCTCCGGTCGATAAAAAAAAGTCATCATGTCGTTAACTGTGATCAGGTGGCTCACACTATTCTGTTGAAGAAGCTTTGAATAATATGCGTTGTATCGAGAGGCGATGAATTCTTTCCACCTTTTTTTAGCCTCCTTAGGCTACACTTCCAAGCTAAGCGTGTTCGTCTCCCACAAGGTCAACTAGCCATCGTTGAATATGTTTGCATGATCAGTTTTTGCTGATGCAAGTGGTACGCATTAGCATGGGTTGTCTACTAGCTTTTCTGGGGTACCCCTTTTATTTTACACCTTCGTGTTTTAGTCTTAATCAGTGGTTCCTAGAGAGCTAGAATGAGCTTAAACTCTCTTGGTAGTTCTTATGTAAGAAAGCGTTATGATCTCTTTTATTGCAGCAAGCAAGACGTCTTCCTCGTGTTCTTCTTCGAAAGCTTCTCCACGGCCAGGTGCTACTATATCTACTAAATCCACGCAGCCCACAGGTTCACCCTCTAAACGTAAGTGATATTATATATACTGTACATCAACGGGGTGGTCAAGTCCCGCCTAAATATGCCCTGTTTTCGTTTTAGAAAACATAGACTAGGGTTCATAAATACTGTACCCTCAACATCCGGGCCCTGGGCCCCCGATAAGACGGCGGAGTCACGTTTAGACCATTTTAACCCGGTCACCCCGCCATTTTCGTCCCAGTCCTACCACTAGCTAGCAGCAGGTGTTCTCGGTAGTCGCGATTTACTCTTGTAGCAGTCAAACCGTTTTCCTCAGGCCAGTTAGAATTCTTACTTGTTATCTTAACGAAAAGCCGAAAAAGGCATGTGCTCCTTACAGGCGTCTACAGGTGAGGATTAACTAGATACAAACAATGTCATGTGGTCTTTCCGGGTGGTAAGCTTGTTGCTAAGCTGAATGGTGGGTTTCCAAAGAATCTCCAATTTGTCACGATCCTTTTCTTTTTTTTCTTTAGGAAAAAGTTTATCCACGCGCAGTAGTTTGTCAAGGCCAACAAAATTACCATCCAGAGGAAGGACCTTACCCACAAGGGAAACGTTACCAACTACGCAATCAAAAACTCCCGGATGTAAGTATGAGAAACGGACAGTTCAGAATTGAATAACTGGTTTTTACTTATTACAGTTAATCAAATTTTTTTTGAAGCAAATGAGCGGGGCCTCTGATTTGAATAATCGTTTTAAAATGATAAGCATAAACAATCGAACCACCTCTACCAAATGGCTACCTCTTAACAAGGGCTACTTTTTCTTGTCCCGGCGAACAGTCCATACACTATGAAGCTTTAGCAACGACGACGATGACTGCAGCGACATCACTGTTAAATGTCAATCTTATCAAACTTTGTCGCGCTTATTCCAACTTGCTTAAAATGCCAAAGGGACTGGAGAATTTCCCTGGAGTTGAATTCTTGGGACCGCGCCCAAGTTTACAAGGAGAAGGAAAAATTCGTCCTCGTGAATTACGTCTACTATAAAAAGCCGCATAGGAAAATTTCACGTCATAAATGTCGTGCAGTGATGGCAAAGAAATTTACCAAAAAGACTGATGCTTGTACAAAATTGTCATTTTACTCGCTAAACCGTAATTTTCTGATGTTCTCGTTGCCGCTGTTGTCGTGGGTGTAAGATCCCTCAGTATTAACCGATACAGACCTCCTGAAAACCGTAACTGCCATTTTAAGCATGTCCCAACTGCTAGAACCACCTCCCTACAACGCCTATTCAAACGTGAAGAATACGCAAGCTTTTTTTTCTTAGCCTTTAGTTTTGGTTTATTGATATATTTTCATTGCGTTACGTATCATATATGCTTTTATTATAGTAACCTTTTTTATAAATTTTTATCTTTTCAAAAAAGTTAAAATTGTGCTTCATATTACACCCCTAAATGTACTTCCACAACTTACACTGTACCTTTGTTCCCATGCTGGCCATTGTAGAGACGCTCGGCTGTATGACGTATGAAGGGTTTAACCTAACTGTATATCATAATAAAAATTATTATGTCGTTGCGCCATGCGAATTTGGTTTGCGAAATACGACTAGTAGAAGTGCAACTCTGCCATCAACAGGCCTCAAATATCGTGTAAGCAATTTGTACATGCTTAACAAGTCTTAAATCGCTTATTTAAGATTGAGGAAAAAAGAAACGATGGCAGGTTTGCTTTCATGATAAAAAGTACTACTGAAAACAAAACTCTTGACAGGACAAGAGTGAATTTAAAAATATACACAGTCTAAACGCGTTGTACTTCTTAATAAAAAGAAGTTAAATGGAATTGTTGTACAATAGATTACGAAAAAACAAATCAAACAACCTGTCACCGTTGTTTGCAGGTTGCACGGTATACAGACCGATTCCTTCGATTTGTCCGCCTCAGTGTCAGACGTCATGTTCAGAAGTTTGCCCTTCAACTTGTTGCGTAGCAACACCTCTGCAGCAATTAACAGTATATTCGTCCCCTGTGTCCCCGCTGCCAATGTCTACGTGGTGTCCCTATCCGTGTTCATCACAGTACATGAAACGCAAAGATATCCTGTGGAAAAGAAAATACCGTAACTTAAATCGAGGACGGCATAGCTTACCGAGTCTCAAACGATCATTTTCAAACAAGGCAAGCGGACATATTACGAAAAAGCAGTCGAGTCAGGCATACCTGGACGACACACAGCCGCTTTACAACAAAAACTAAAAATCTCCGTACTAGCACAAACGAAAAAGCAAATAGTATTACACACATTGTTTCAAAGGAACTTAAGTGAGATAACTGAGCAGGTTTTGAAAACAATACAACAACTAAATACTATACTAACGGCTTATTGTTGTAGAACTCGTGTCTGTCCAAGTGAAGAAGTCATTTCACAAATTCTGAAGCAAGTCAGCCAAGACATTCATGAAGGCCTAACCCTGTTTAATTAAGACAAAGCAATATCCATTTCATTATACCTTGTTAAAGACAAGAGACCCTATTTTATGATCCTGATTCGTTTTTCTTTGCATACAGAATTTTAATTCTGTAGTTTAAAAACTAGAATCATAGTATTATACTAATGAAAAAGAAATTGTTAAATACCACGATGCAAAACGCTATATTATGGACCAATTTCACACACTTTTAAAGGACTTCCCGTCTAAAAAGACACCATATTCAAACGTTAAATAGTGAAACTGTATGTCCTGACTCAAGAACATGAAAAGTATACCTTCAGCTGCTCATACCAGTTTAGTCCAAATAAAGGAGTGCCCCCCGGGACGTCAGAAAGGAACTCCCTCGTATTAGAATATAAGGCAGCAGTCTTAAAAACCTGTCAACTAGAGGATTTTTTCGTAATGAGTAAGTAGCATGGTACGCAGAAAGCAGGAATCGGCCTTCGGATCTTAACATCTACAGCAAAATATAGTCAACATTTTCTGTAATCACTGATCATCCTGTTGACACAGAAGACCTTTCCTAGTCTGCTTTGCCTTTAATTAATTTGAAATGCTTGTAACTGTTAGCTGCGTTGAGTCGAGTGTCATAAAATTATGAAACGAAATGCCTCAAAATAGCCATGATCTCTTTTGGCCAATCTATGTCTTTAAAACATATTCGATGTAAATATGTTATGGGTAAAGCCGTAAAGGTCCTTACATAACAGATGTACGTCGGTAACTAGTAGGCAGTGCTCAGTAAACTGACGAACCTGATTAGTTCGACGGTGCATTATTTTACCCCTCCCCCCCTCTCTCCATCAGTACTCTGTTTTACGGGTATTTAAAGCTACATAAAGCTACACGAAAAGGAAAGGAGATGAAAATAGAATGATTTAAGGTCACAAATAAGAATCGAACTCGAACCTCCCGCACAGAGGGCCGTGCACCAACCAGCAGTGCTAATCCTTGTTCCTAATATAAAGGGTTTAGTTTATCGTTTGTCTCACGATTGTCAATTTGATATTGATCGCTACGTTTCGACCGAACACTGCAGATCTTCATCAGGTGATGTTGTCGATTTACTGAGTCGGACTATTTGTTAACCACCGTGGTCATTAGTGATTGGTGTATCACGAACCTTGCTCATGGTTGGTCAGTTTCGATCCAAAGCATAGTTGGTATTGTCACAAGAGGAAACTGATTACTCAGCGGTTCCGGTTGTGGTAGCGATTGGCTGTTATGTTGTCAAATTGTAGGCATCCTTGTTCTTCTGCTCTTCTGTTTTTTTTTCTACTTGCCTTTATAATAACCTTAGTATAAATGAGGACTTGGATAAACAGCTGTATGTTGTTCCATGTACTTATCATTGATTGTTGACAAACTATTTAAGGTTACCAGACAAGTTTCCATAACACTAGGTGTGGCTGGATTAAAGCCAGTTGATCACCCAAAACCCGTGTATTTAATGGTAAAACCAGAGCATTCAGACAAACAGATACTAATTTTAAGAAGATGTGCTTGTCTCAGCAATTTTGTACACTTACAAATATACATGCTATTCACTTTTGCAGTCATTGTCGTTTTATGTTGTTTATTAATCATATGTTATTTAAAGAACCAATGAATCATTGAATAGAAACAGGACTAGTGACCTTTTGTTTTAACCAGAGAAAAAAGAAAAATAGTCTCCATAAAAGGTTTGCAAGTGAAAATCGTTTTCTAAACAAACCAGAAATCATTGGCGTGAGATAAGATTTAATCAGATCAACAAATCTGGGGAATCTATCGTGGTTCTTGCTCCTAAAGGTGGGTAGGCTACAATTCATTTTTCCTGTTTTTATCTTAGTTAATAAACTTTTCAAATGACTTAAGTTTAAATACTTTTTTACGATACCTTTTTTAAATTCAAGATTACATCGTTAAAGTGATTTCTGATTAGTTTTGATTCGAAATGCAAGTTAGAGCAGGTTCTAACATTAGAACATTCAGAGAAAGAAACCAATTATGCAAAGGAGCTTTTTTTATCACTGCATTGAAAGCTGTGAACATGAAATCTTATTTCAAAAAATACGCGATAAAATTTGTATAATAAGATGCAAACTTGGTTGTTTTGGTCATAACCTCTCGAGCGGAAACTGTAAACGATGAAGATACTAAAATGAGACTGACATTCTAACGGTTTTTCGTTTCAGCCCAAAACAAAATTATTAAGAGAAATAAAAATTTTAGATTATATTCACAGGTACATACGTATTTTGCTCTCTATTTACTTCAATCCGAAAAATTCCAGTAAAAAATTGTGTTAGTAGGTTACTCAAACGGTCCGTGTTTTGCAGTGACTAAAGCCAATTACGTTTCTAAGCCGTAAGGATATCGTAATCCGTTGAAACCATGGAATTGAACAAACTTATCAAATTTGACTAGTTCGTCAGTATTGCTGAAATTTAGCAGTTTTATGTTTTAAAGGACGTTTTGGACAGCAAACATGAGGTACCCGTTGGCATGGGCTTTAGCTGTCACTTCGTCAGTCCTCTTCCTAGGTAAGTTTTAGCGCTGCCCTTTGGTTATCTATGCATCCGGCCAGCAAATTTTGACTCTAACAAAAATGTCCGTCTATACTTACGTCCATCCATTTATGTTAGCGAGTGTGAAATGTCACACTTTCTTGCTTGGAGACCAAGGCACATACAATCTGTGTTCAACTTAATATTGGACATCCATGCAAGGTTGATTGGACAGCTATTGATCCATGGGTAATTCATTTGCCGATAGCTGTCCGATCAGCCTTTCCCACGATTTAAAGTGTTATTCTATGTTACCGGCTGATCCCGATCGACTGCACTAAGATCCGGCTTTCTCTCGCTGCTGTTTGTCCAAGTGGTCTACAACAACGACAACTAACAATTCTTCTGTTGGGACACTTATATTACTAAAAATATTCTTCAACGCCAACATTTCGTTGAAAGTTTAGCAAAGCTTTCGGAGCCCATCTGAATCCCTACATCAGTGATGACGATTATTGGCAAGGAAAACCATCTGCTTTCACCAAGATACGCGAGTCCATAAACATTCATACTTTGCGACCGGAAATGAACCGCGATCAGGGCTACAATCTTCCCCCAATTTATGGAACAATCAGTTGCAGCCTCATCAAAACGAGGCCGCGATTAACAGCAAACGTCATCACTGATGAAGGTATCCGGATGGGTTCCGAAAGCTCTGCTAAACTTTCAAACCGTACAAATTCAACTAGTAAGAGAACTGCGATGGGTAATCGAAAGAAAAGAAGAACATGATTCCATGTTGCATAAAATGATACATTGCGATTAAGCAAGGATGTCTAGGAGCTAATTAAAGTAACAAAAGTTTTCGTGCTAGCGACTTCCGGTAGCTATAAAATGATATTTCTAACTCAATAATTACTCGCTTACCCATGTTATCGTCAATTGATAGCTATCCAAATAGGGTATCTGCTGACAAGTGTCACATGACTGTATCATGTGCTCAGGTGCACAACTCATCGACTTGACGTGTTTTTTAGTTCTCAACTGATCAATCAAGGATTGCTGGTTTTTAATTGATCGCAGGCTGAAGTCCATTTTTCTTTTACTTCTTGTTTTTGGCGCAGTTGAATTACTTCAGAAAGACCATTTAATTTTTGAGTGATCTTTGCTTTTGGCCCGTAACGACCTTAACTAAATCATATTAATATTTTCCTGAAAATTCACTTCAAATTAGAAAATACAAGGAGCCCATGATTAGTAAAAAGATATATTTTTTGTATCATATAAGACAAAAGCCTTGTCTGATTTCTTTCCAACTGATTTCTTTTTTTATTGTTATTATTTTCCCAGGAACAAACTGTGTCTTCGGTAGGTAGCACGCTTGACTAAGAATACCTTGCTAACTCTCTCTTAAACTGAACGAAACTGACTTTTGTGCAATTTTCTTCAATTTGTTTCATAATTTTCTAACACCTGAATGTTTTTTTTCCAGGTCAGTTTTCCAGCGTAGGTAAGAACATAAATTTCTACCTCCTTCGTTTTTTTCTTTTAGTTGAGATATGCGAATGCCAAAAGTGACAAAAAATTACAATTAAGCAATAGAAAACGTTTTCCGTGTTTGCATAGCCTGATATAAACACGAGAAGGGTTAGACGAAGTCGAGGGTTTGCATAACTGTCGAGGATTCTCCCAAGCTCTCGAGTGTTTATATCAGACTATGCAAACACAGGAAAAAAGTTTTCTATTGCTTTTATAAAATAACTTTGCCGAGAAAAACTCTCAAAAGCTCTTTGTTAAAGAACCGATTAAAACAGAAATCCTTACCAGTCCCAAAGCCTTACACGAAGTCTTGCACGCGTAATCAGTCCTTGTTTTGCAAAAAGATGCTTTCCAAAAAATACGGATTTTTCTCGCTTAAAATGTCAGCTTTAGCGAAAAAAATCGACACATCTTCTTTATAAAGATTTTCCAAGTGTCAGCCGACGAAGGAATGGGTAAATAAAGTAACCGAGTTGAGTTTTGAACTCAAAAACTTTTTCAAATTCGTGCTTACTTGATTAGCGCGGGAAAAGCAAAACATCTTGACGTCACAACCATGTTTACATACTCTCATGCAAACACGTGTCTGGGCCAATCAGAGCGCGCGCACTATCTTAGCTATTTTATAATAAAGAATTGTTACTATCATGAAGACACTGTGGAAGAATTTAAATTATATATCTGCGGCGGTTGTCGCAAGAATTTTCTTACACTCTTCACTAAATCCTGCTTCTCTTCTCATGCACCTACCACTGAGAAACTTACGGCGTTGACGTCAGTGAAAACATGACTGATAAAGTGAATTAATGTTCTTTAAAAGCTTTATTGCCTTTATTTCAACTCACTAAAAATGCAGGTGGATTCTCCTGGAGGTGAATCGCATTTTCTCCGATCTCTATTAGGTCCTCCGATCTATACTTCGTGGCATCGAAAACTTCCACGTTTCCGTCGTGAAGTGACGGCTCTGCCTGCACGTGCAAAGTGGTTTATATATTTCCCTGGGAAAAAAAAGCATAAAAACAGTTAGTTGAAGTTGAATTAACTATAATTGTTTAATTCTTTTCTTCAGTGACCCAAGGGGTGAGAGTAAAAAGAGTAGGATGTTTTAAAGAAGACCCGGCGAAAAGAAGCATAAACACTCTTCTCTTCAGCGACTTAAAATCCATCCGATCGACTGCAAAGGTGGATTTCAAAAACTTTGGACGTTACACTCAAGGCCTCATAAGCCGGTGCGGTGCTGCTGCTGCAGCCAAGTCTTTCCTGTTTTTCGCAATTAACAACATAGGTAAGCACACTACTGAAAGGACTTTAATTTTCGAAATTGGCTGCCGATTCAATCTGTGAGATAGAAACCTAGATTATGACCCTCCTCCTAAAAGACCGATTCAGCTAATCCAGGATACAAACTTTTTACTCCACAATCGAATTTACCTTTCTACAGTGGATTATCCGGGCTAAGTTTACACGGCGCTGCTCAAGCAATTTTCGTTTAGCTGAAAAATTTGATCCGAAAATTTGTTTACATTGAACCGTTCAATATTTTGGCTCCGTCCACGGGGTGTGACCAACCAGCTTGAATAGACCAATTTTGATATATTAAAATTCATACTTGGCTGTGAGGCTTGGGGGAATAAAACAAAAGAAATCCGCTTGAGGATTAGCAGTGAATTATACAAATTGTCTTTTGTTTTATTTCCCCAAGACTCGGAGCCAAGTATGAATTTTAATATATCGAAATTGCTACATTCTAACTTTTGTTGGTGGTTTTACCAACTGCCCATTCGCAGATGTCTACTTCAGCAATTCCAAAATGGCGTCATCCAGCTGAGTTATCATACGCATCCATGTAACCACGCCTTTGCCGTACAAAAATTTCGACTTTGGAGCGACGCTGGCGCGACATCTGATTCAGACGGCGCACCGTTTGTCGAACCTAAGTTAAGTTCGACAAAAGTTCGACAGACTCTGTCGAACTTAACGCTTTTGCCGCACCAAACTAAAACTGCCGTACCAAATTGATTCAGACACACCGTACTTAAAGGGACTGGTTCACGATAATGCGCATGCGCGCCGTGTGTCTCTTCATGAATAAATTTGTTGGGTCAACACTAAATTCGAAATCGCCATTACCGGTACAATCATTGAAAATCCTTCGTTTTATTCGGGCATCCGTCGCTTTGGCTGGTCTAGTTATACTTCGGTAGTGGTGATTAACGTGTGGTTGTGTCGTTTGACTGGTTACGTTTTAAGAAGACGCAAAAAATAATGTTTTGATCATGGAGGTTCAGAAGAGCATCGTGGCCGTCCGGCAACAGGATGTTCTCTAGAGTCTTTGGAGATAGAGAAGCTTAGCCTATCGATCTGGTATGGTTCTAGGAGTAGTGTGTGGCTTACGAATAGGATACACGACACTTGGAAAGTGGTTAAAGGCATGAGTTCGTTCAACTTTGATTTGATTTTTGACTCCGACCTGTAGTTATACCGCAACAGGCCGCGCGATCTTCACCGATCTGGTACACTTGAAATGTTCCTTGTATCTTTGCTTTACGACCGTATATGTTTAAGAATTGATGTTTTTAAAATAAATTATTGCCTGAATATTCTGTTTATAATCTAGTTTCTTTATGGGTGTTACTCGATAACATTTGTTTTGCGGAACACTGACCCGATGCAACGCGAATGAATTTGTTCATTTGCTGATAAGCAATTGAAATTTATGCTCAATTAAGGATAATCTTTATACTCATACGTTGTGTATTTTTGTCACCGGTCAGACGCTATTTGTAGGTATTTCTGGGTTTATGTAAGGCGAACTGAGAGAACAGTAATAAGATGTTTGTTTATAAATTTTGTTTGCCGATCGGTGACTGCTTTGTTAACGTGGGTACGACCTCGTAAAAATACACGTTGGTAAATGTTTGTTTCAAAGCAGGACAGGGCTGTAAATTTTATTCTTATCGGCTGCAACATATATCTGAGGATTTTCACAGAATAAACTTGAATTATGGGGATAAATAAAATCAAACCAAATGCCCGGAAATGCTCTCGCGTCGCGAACAATTTTAAATTTGAATTTTGTAAATTTACTTGCGTGCATCTAACTCGCTTCCGATTGGTTGAAAAACAATCAGCTACTGTCAGAACTCACACATGCGCATTATCGTGAACCAGTCCCTTTAATTCATCAGTTAGGTTCGGCACATGATTGGAGCGGCGTCTGAACCAGACCTTAGACGGTTATGGTGTTCACACCGCGACAGTCAAATTTTCGTTAGTACCGACTACAAATTTGACCTCGACGCACGAATTCTCCGCAGCCGGTGGAAAATATGTCGGTGCCGTGTGAACTAAGCCTAAGAGTTTCGACCTTTTAATCAAATTTATTAGTAACTTTAGAGGAAAAAAAAATTTTACATAAGAACGTTTACATATTGTGCGCACAGACAAAGGTATTATATTTACTACCGAAAAAAGTTTTACTGAATAGAGAAGATTTGTTTGAGCCGCCTAATAGTCATTTTCATTTGGAATGAGAGGGACGCTAAGAGTCTATTTTAAACTGAATAATTAACTTGGATATAAATTCGGATGCAATAGCTTTAATTTCTTATGCATTGTTTTGGACGCGGACTAGTGGTACTGTTTACATATAACAGAGGAAGATACAAGTCCTTTATCTGTTTATGAGTCGAATAGATTGATAGTTACAGTTAGTAGATTGAGAAAAATCTGTAGCGAAGTAAGGCTAACTTAGTCTTGATTAAAGTATCATTTGACTTAACAATGCTGGAACTGGGAGTAAAGGATCCGCAATAATGAATGGAGTTTCTTCAGTGACCGTTCCTATGCAAGAAAATTTCAAAAACAAATTGGCTTAAGGGTTAAACTTCAGTATCTTTTTATTTTTTGCTATAAGGTGAATGTTACTCAGGTAAGGTGTCCACCACGTATGCCTCAAAGGGATCCTCGACAGATTGCAAAAACGGTGGAGGTACAAAGTGTACGGGGACCACGCAAGATTGTGTCGGTGGTAGTCCTAAATCAAACTATGTCTACAAGTTAGAAAGTAAGTATCCCGCCTAGAATCGTGTCCTTCCTCATTTTGTTCGCCCAATAACTTTGTATTTCGCTACTTTTACTGGATGAAACCCTTTACTTACTATCAACGGATATTCTGCTTCCAATTCGATTCAGGTTATTGTTTACAGTCAGATTTTAATCCCAGAAAATATATTTTTAAAACATCCCCTTACAATTTTTAGATCATTTTTCCTCTTGGTCGGGCTGATTATTTCCGATCAGCGCACGCTAGTGGTTATTTTTTAGCTAAAGATATCAAAATCTTTTTTTTTTGGAGTTCACCTTTCCACAAAAAAACATTTTTTAACTTTTAGAGCTCCCCAAGACTACGAAACCTACCGCAAAGCCAACAACGAAACCGGGTGGGGCCACGACAAAGCCTTCTACTCAGGGAGGAGCGGCCAAACTAAACACTCTGACCTGTAAGTTACATCACTTTAGATTTTATCTTTAGTTAGCAAAGATTTCCATAGCGTTCGTGTCTTATTTAGGGTAGGTGGAAGTAGGAAAATAGGTTATAGTTTCGTAAAAAATCAAAAACTCGTACGATGAGTCTACTGGGTAGGATCTAGTGTTTTAAATTTGCTGCTTTCTAAAACACAACGTAAGTTCTGCTGCTCATGCTTGCGGGCCTTTTTAAACGGTACAGCCTGCGGAATGCTCATATTTACAACGATACTAGGAATGTGTGTCTCGCAAACCCTTGCGAAACTCGGTTATATTAGCGCCGCTAAAGTTAAGCTGTGTCGGGCGAGGTTATAATAAGGAACTGGATGGGTTACCTGCCGCGAATATCCTGTCAAGAGAACCTCTACTTCTTTTTTTTCTCTTCTTCCTCTTTTTCTTCTTATTTGGTCCTATTTTCATTCTTAAATGCGCGTATTGTAAAGCATATTTAACATTAATTCGGCCGCTGGATAAAAAAGGAAAAAAAAACAACAAAAAAAACACGCCTTTGAAATGCTTGCAAACTCAACCTTGGTTCAAAGGGCGAAGTACAAAGCTGAAACCAGTCTTTGATGCATCAGCGGGGAGAGTGCCAAGTTAATTGCAGGTTTGCCTCGTTGTAACATGAATTCCATGGCAGATTTAAGGGAAGAAGTGAAATGGTCTTCAGAAACTAACGCGCTAAGTCAATTCTGTTCACCAGGTCAGAATTACTTGGTTGCCATAAAAATAACCGCCGGCGCAAGCGCAGGTAAGCCACAGGTCCCAACTCCAGCAGGTGCGTCACCAAAACGTACTGCGAAAGGCCAGTCCACTCGACCCACAGTAGCAACACCAACGACCAAGGCTACACCCTCACCACAATCATCAATCGAAAATAAGGTAAGTTTAATTTTACTTTATTGTGAACGATAATTACCTTGGCCGCCAGGGTGATGTTATTTGTCGTAACTTTGGTTCTTTGGATAATATTATAAATTCAATAACTTAAGAGTTTTTGAGAAATACGTCTCTTTAGTACGCGACAAAGGGGACTCGAAAAGGTTCAAGTTCTCACCTAACAGAAGTCGAATCTGTGACATCAGGATACTGGTAAATATTTCGTGTCTGGTACGATCCATTCCTTCCTCCACGTCCTTCAGAGGTTATATGCAAGCCTATTTTTTTGAAAACCAACCTAACAAAATTTTGCCGTCATTTGAGTGAAAAGGCGTCAAAAGGCAGACTTTTGGGCGCGATAAGCTCTAAAATCACACTAACGAGTCCACTAACGAAGGAAAAGGAAAGGAGGGAGATGGAAGAAAAGAGGAAAGGAGAAAAAGCAATGGTTGTGCCCTTAGTTTTTATAATGGCTACTTTAGCCGGAAAAAACTGTTGGACTTAAAGAGTCCATTTGGCGGTAACGTTCTTAAAAATCCGGCATAGATGTACATGTATATACCATTCCTGAGGAAGGATCAAGCCATTCCTGAGGAAGGATCAAGCGCACAATGGGCACAAATAATGCGACATATACTGCCTGTGGTAATCTTTGATTCATTAAAGTGAATTATTTAACATAATATTTCTAGATATCAAAATATTGGTTGTATGAAAAAAATTTTTTTTCGAAAGTGTAATCAAGGAATTTTGTCATTTGTTTGCTCGTTTTATTGTTATGAAACAGGTGAGGAATATCTATAAGGGATACTCCTGTCTTGTCTGCTTGAAAACGGTTAACGCAAGGTATGTTAATTGCTTACACTATTTTCTACATGTACATAGTTTTGCAACACTAGTAAGCGAAACAGTTGACTGAACAGAATCAAATTGTGTTATACCAAGTGCTTCGGATCCCCCATAATGCACTATGTTTGTTCTTCAAATTTTGCATTAAATATCATTAATACTCTTTTTCTTAGTGTTGGTGTTAATCCTTACATTTTGACTTTGGTTTGCACGAGTGTATGTCTTGAATCTGCCAAGCCTCGCAACTCTTATATGTGAGACTACGGTCTTCAAGGTCTTGAAGGCCTTAATGACTTCAAATCTCACTATTGGTTTTTTTTCCCTTGGGTTAATTTTCGCAGGGTTTTAGTCTTTACCTTTTTCTTGTTACTTTTTAGTTCTTCGACAGTGTTTCTTATGCTGAAATTTGCTTGCCAAGGACAACATTTGAAAAAACTTGTTGCTGGTCTTGGGGCCAGCAACATTATCAAAGCAGGTATGAGCTTTCGATTCGTTCCTCTTTTTTATAGTGTTACAAAGGAAAAAAGAACAATTTTTTGTCTCTTTTTCTATTTCAAGTTTATTAAGCACTCATCTGTTTTTTATTTTTTTAATCTGACTCACAACGGTCGCGCAAGATGTAGTTCTAGCCGACCCAATACCAATTTGGCTAAAGGAGTCCCTTTAAGATAGACGGAGGCAACAATCCCTGATTTTACCTCTTTGCATGCAAAATTTATTACTTTTTATTTCATTTAGAATGCTACCCGCCAGCTTGTGCATACTCAGGCTCAATGTACCCCTGTTCTCCCTGTGGGATGTCTGCGTGCTCCATGTCACCATCAGTACCATACCCACCAGTTTGCCAGACGACATATCCTGCGCCTGCTCCGTACCCAGCTCCCGTCCCGCCTCCCATCCCGTCTCCACGGTGCCCAATGTCCTGCCCGTCGCTTTGTGCTCCAGCATGCAGTTCTTTCTGCTGTCGCTCCTTAACAGGCTACAAAAATAAGGCTGGAATATCAGCCAAGAAATCGTCAACTTTCAATGCTGATGATTTTGAGGATGATGACGACGACGACGTCGACGACGATGATGATGTTGAAGACAACGATGACAATGATTTCGATGAAACCAGTTAAACCTTGAAAAAGAATGCAGTAATTACTGCTCCCGTTTTATAGACAGTCTAGCAGGATGGTGCATCCGTTCTTGTCTAATTGCTCAAAATCCGCCCCCTTCGTACAAAATGGCTTGTGTTCCAAAAGTATGGAATTATCAATTGAAAAAGAGAAGTGCTATAAAAATTCAGCTCTACTACAGCCCTGACATATACGGTTTACGTTCTATTTCAAAAGTTACTCTTTGCACAATTAAATTGGCGGATGAAAATTGAACTCTTTAAGGAAAGTAAAAAGATTTGGGATATCAGTATATGAGTATGAGTTTTAGGTATTAGAGGAATTGAAATTTAGATGTCGAATTTTTTGACTGATAATCGACGAAGTATGCGATTTATTGAGCACATAATTTGTCTGATATAGACTTTTCATGAATTAATTACAGTCATGTTTTAATTTAATCGGCGTTGACCCCATTTAAAGTGCGCGAATGTAAATAAACATGAGACTTTCTTTGAAAATATAAAAACGCTTCGCTACGTCATTTTAGTAGTAGACTTAACAGATGTGCCCTTTTTTCTAATCCCTCTGCAAAAGTCATATAACACAAAACAACAAGTATAACAATATGCAGAGATCTTCATACTAGGCGAAACAGACGGAAACTAGATTCAGCCAAAGCAGTCGAACACCATTTCAACCTTCCCTTGAATCATTCTTTTGACTAGCCAAAACACGGCAATCCGCGGTCTTTTCCCACACACCAGGGGAACAGGAAAAGTTGCAAAAATCTAGAACAAAAATTTATCTTTTAAATCGGTGTTCTCAATCCCTACCGAATAAAATAAAATAAACAATTTCAGGATGAGCTCCTGACTTTCCATTCATTCAACCGGTTATTTATATTATCTTGTTTTCCATGTAACCATGATCCCCATCAACAGGCGTTTCCTTGTTTACATTTTTTAATGCATTAACATGAATGCTTATCATTATATGATGGAGCCAATAAAATAAAATCTCTGAATATTGAAAGAGCATAGCAATTCAGTTATCTCTGAAAATTTGTGTCCGATATGCTGAATAGTTTGGGAGAAATTCTCTTTGAAAAACCCCAAACATTAGCTCATCCCGTTTTTGCCGCTCAGCAACTTCGTAACTTTTTATTGCTGCTATTTCCATTGTTATTGATTGGAAAGAGCTGCTGCAATTTAACCAGCTCTTTCAGGTTTGGAACCTAATTTGTATACATATACGGTGACGTTTTCCATGGTTTAGGAGCCGATCATTTGACTTGAGGTGGACAGGGGGGTATGCATGGGTGATTTGGGTGGGTAACAATTCTTTTGCTCCAAAACCTCTGGTGATAGAATTTTTTTTCCCTTGCATACAAGATTTTTTTCCCAGCTTTATATTTTTTTCACTGTAGCAATTTCTTTTCGCCAGCTATTTCCTTGCAATAATGTTTTCCCCTCGAAATCAGTCTACAGAATATTTTTTTTTCTGAAATCACCCATACCCCCCCCCTAAAATGTAAACAATAACGTCAGCAAAGATTTGCCCATAGAGCTGTTCCATCATTCGATTTTGTTTTTGTTTTTTTTTTTAAACAAAAATTAAAGCCTTTGATTTGCCCGGATGAACTGAGGGCTTTTTTGTGGCGCTCGAAAAGTTTTTTACGTTGGTAAAATGGGCTGAAAAGCATCAACTCGGGCTAGATTTACACTAGAAGCGATTTTTTCGGATGCATAAATGTTTCCGCTTTTATTACATTTAGGTTATTAGGATTCGCAGGCGTTTTCAATCCGAAGTTTATCTACAAACATTCAAATACAAAATATTCAATTTACTGAGCCAACATTCAAAGTCTTGAAGAAGTGCCCAAGGGGGAAGGTTTCTCTTCCGATCCAGAAAGAATCTGCTAAGTCAGGCAGCAAGTGCAGCGCGGAAATTATAAATGCTCTCGGCCCCCACCTGTACTGACCATGTACCCAAGTTGGCCTGTAATTATACACGCAGCTATTGCGAAAGCCAACGAAGCCTGGACAAATTAAGGCTTTTATGGGATTGGAACCATTATACCATTGACGTCTAAGAAAGGGAATAGAAAGGATTCAACAAATAATGAAGAAAAGTTAAGGAGGTGCTTTCTCATAGAAATTGCGGTGTTGCGTTGCGATCGGTTCGGGAACAATGAAATATGATTTTAATAAATCAATGATAGAATTGAACAGATTATGTTATTTTTTCCCCTGCAAAGAGACTCCAAAAGGCTTATTCGCCAAACGAAGGGCTGGCAGTCGAACGTAATATTTGTGAACATCTTTACGGTGACCATTTTACAGTTTCTCTCAAGTTTTTAAACAAAAATTTTATTTTAGTGCTTTTAATTGTGTCTTAATCTTTGAACAAGATTAATAAAAGCTAAGCGAAGAAATGAAGCTTAATTGCAGCAAAAGGCATCAAGCGTTAATAAGAGAGACATTACGTGCTTCTTGTGTCTTACACCTCGTGCTGACAAAATATCAGAGCGATCCAATTGCCAAAGAGGTCCATGAACGACAGGTTGGAACATGGTTAGACCATAAGATTAAATATGAATTAAAAAGAAATTGTTAGATTCAAGAACTGGCCAGGAAACATTTATTCAATTCCATCCTGTTTAGCTTAAAGTACTGCTAGAACAAGAACGGTAAGTAACTGACAGAGGCAATTAGGCGTGGCTAGGCGTGAACAGTTCTAGTTTTTTTAAAGACTAATTAAATCGGTTTAACGAAAATACTACCTCTCAATTACTAGTAAGGCTTCAAAATAAAAAGGATCTTTTGCCAATAGATCGTTTATCAACAAAACTAAAAGAACGCTAGTTAAAAAACACTTCAACTTTCACTGCACGAACCATAACGGACTTTTCAAAAAAGCCGTCTAGAAAGCGTCAACCAGATGCTAGTTTCTTCATTGTTATGCACATGTTTAAACCAAAACGTCTCTCAGTTTAGTACTTACTCTTCAAGATCAGTTTCATGTAGTTTACGCTCCCAGAATATCTACTAATCCTGAAAATCGACTTTTAGGCTGGTAATTTCCCGCAGCAGACGACGTTTAAGGCTTGTTTAATGTTAGTAATTGGCTCTACTGTAGGTACCAGTATGTTAAGTAAAACTTATGAGGGCTTTGAAAACACCCGCGCCTGTGCTTAATTGTATTGACGACTAAGCAAAAGATTGGTTTCTTCTTCAGTGCCAATAGCGATTTTATTTAAGTGTCTGGCATAGTTCTCAGTATATTTAAGAACAACTAAAGTGTTCTCAATCATTCTCAGACCACTCTCTCTCAGGGATATGAAATTAGTGGTTACCGTAGAAACATTATTTTAGTAAAATGAATTAATTGATCTGTCAATATTACTTCTCTATCAGACTTGCCTGTCACTGATGATGATTCTTCAAATATTATTTCAATTTATTTGGATAGTTGTATTCGTGAGCAGAGACGTATCAGGTTCTTATGGTAAGCAGGTCTATATTAGAACTAAGTTACCGGCCCTGGGCGTTCTCAACGTGCAGTTAAACAGTCTTTTTTACGTACGAAACTTTAAGGTTATGTCCACACTATACCTGATAGTTTTAGCGACGCCAAGAAAATCATAGCAGATAAGGTCTCTGTTCACACGCTAGAACGGTTGTGGTGCTGCGATTTCTCTGACGGAAAAAAGCTGCTTAGACTTTCCAAAAAGTCCTTTATTTTTTTTTCCTTTTGGTTATGCCAGACTTCGTTGCTCGCTCGGTCGCTGCGGGACCTCATGCATTGAAGCTCGCTTCGCTCACTTTTAAGAAATTATGATAGGTCGACTTTTAGCAAATCTAGGCGCTGCTTCGCGCCGATCTCGAAAGTGGAGAGTCAGATATTGGATAGGGTTTTTCTTGGCCCCACGAAAGCTATTCGGTTGAGCGTGAACATAGCCTAACCATGAAAGAGGATAAAGCCAGGGATAAAAGTCGAATTTACAATAAAAAACCTTCCCTGCAGTCTCAGTTCTTACTTAAGGAAGCAGTAAGTTCTACCCACTTCCTCTCGTAATAGTCAATGCGGGGGCACTTGTGAACAGTTTGACTCAAGGCAAGAATAAGAAAAATGCTAAGAGCTTTTTATAACTGAAACAAAAATAATAAGTCAGGTAATAATAAGCTCTTTATTTTAGTGTCAAGGTATTTAGCACAAAAGTACTTAATGGGGAATCGCAAAGGGAGCTCCTTAATTTCTCAGTTATTTTAAGCAAGAGAGAATGAGCTAAGAGAGCGAATCCCTGTGCCCCCATGATAATTTTTTTAAATCTATTTAAAGTTCGCGTGCGTGCTGCGAAGGTTATTTTTGTATGTTGTTTCCGTGATCCGCGCGGTCTACTTTCACGTGAACGTGACATGTTTCGCCGCCAAACATTTGAAGTTTGACAGCCATTATAGTAATTAGCGCCAGGAGCCGATACTAATGGGCTCCTGTTGTCGACATGTTTTTGATCAGCGCTTTCCGCTCATAATTTAGGAATGAATTTCATTTACAAAGGGATTGCAGTCCAAATTTCACTTTGAGATTAAAGATTGAGAAATTCTAACGGCTGGTAGCCTCATTTAAAGTAACGAATATTGAATTCTGACACACTGTGAAAGCCAGTGACAAAGGTTATCACGCGCGAAACACGAAACCTTTAATTAGTGGCTGGCTTCAATTGTTTCTCTTTTTCCAGGAATATTTTTCGTTCAGAAACAGCACATTTGCTTTTAAGAATTATTCTTCAGCGTTTCAAACTGCATTACTTCTTCTTAACGTCTAATACTTGCAATGAATATTTCGTTGTGCAAACACAAATCAGGTCAGATGCTTCAAGCTGTTAAACAGTTGCTAACCTGGATTCCAGAGAGTTTTGATGCGCGGTTTCCGGTTTCGGTCAATTCTTTATAGTGAGCGGTGTGCCCGCATTTGTCTGGCGTCCTCACAAACATCGCGGCCAAACATTCATGTTTGAACCCACTTTGAACCTATTTTCTCCTTACGTATCCACGGTTGGATCCAAACGACGTTATCACAGCTCGCGGGTGTGCGTGGATGTCGCCGGACGAGACAATTGTCGTTTTTTGCAATAGGATGTTGGTTGTTTATATATTGATGTAGGGAAGACGTCAATAAGCAGTTTTCGTCGAGTCGGAACCGCTTTCTCCAGCGAACTCCCACACGGCAGGACCGTTTTGCTCTTCGTCAGCTACTCTGGCCAGAAATCTTTTGACTCGTCGACGAAAGTAATAACAAGTTTGCACGCCATCGCTTGCTGTGCGTGATCGGCAGTGAAATGAATCACCCGCCAAGTTTAAAATAACATGACGCCACTCTAACCGACCAATAAGGTGACGTCCTTAAAATAACCACGCAGTATGAGAGAGAACCAAGAATAGATTGAAAATAGTTTTAATGGTAAGAGGGTCATTTAGGGGGGATTCGCTCTCTTAGATCATTCTCTCTTGTTTTAAGATCCTGAGGATTGGTCCGGCCCCGGGAATCGAACCTGCGACCTCCCGCTCTGCGGTCAATCGCTCTGCCGACTGAGCTAATCCTGCCGCGGTTAAAGCCAAACTGTCCTTACTTTTTGCCGCAGAAATTTGCTTTCATTTTCTTTTTTCTTGTCTCTTTTCAGACTGCCCGGTCAAGTATACTCGAGTTGGCTGCTTCGACGACTCCATGGTACAACCCCGCCCGTTGTCTCAACTACTGATGACTGATCGAGATCCGACCAGTCCTGTGTACAGTGGTATCCCTGTTCACTGGGGAATGTGGGATGTTTATTTCCCAAAACTGATTTGCAGATGTGCAGCGAAAGCCAAAGCTAAAGGATACAACGTCTTTGGAATACAACATTACGGTAGACAGCTTTTATTATAACTTCTTAGTGCTGATAATTACAAAATTTTTGAGATATCATTCCATCTAATATTTTAATCTGGACAAAATTTAAAAAATGCCTTGACAATAAACCCGCGAAATGCGTTATTTTAGAACAAATATTCTTACTACATATGTCTCAAAATGTGATCATAAATATCATTATTAATTCTATATATTTATCTGTTTTTGATTGGATAAATTTAGGGTAACACAAAATTTGGAAGATTTACGTGATTCCTCCGGATCGTTTTACTACTGGACGAACGCGTCGTGCAACGCTTTCATGATTGGTGTACTGACCAACCTTTAATGCATTGACATTCACAATGTAACCTCCGATTGGGCAAAAGTTTGACTTGTGACAAGCCAATTCAATTCATAATTGACAGTCCATGCACTCTTTACAATTAAGACTTGGCAAAACTAACCGCGTAGTTGTACCACTACTTATTAGAAAAAAAAATATAATAAATTCAGAGGAATGAAGATGTTGCTGTTTTTAGTTTGACAATAGGTCACTTTCTCCCTGCTGTATTCTTTAATCTAAAAAATAATTGAAAAAGGTTCGTGTGCTTGTTAGCCGCTAGACTGTAAATATTGCTTCAGAAAAAATAAAAAAACTAAAGTTAAGACAGAATAATGGACAGGGAGGGAATCGTAGGGTGTTGTCCTGGTTATGTGAATTTCACTAAAGTTATTTTTAGAGGTTTTAATTGAATTAAAGTCTAATTCCAGGGGCGTCCGCACAGTTTAATCAATCGTTTGAAACGTCATCAAGTCCACGCGCGACTTCCTCAAAGCAAACAATGAGGAATATTGAAATGGCGACACACCAAGAGCGCATAATGTTCCAATATTATGATTTACATTACTGAATAAAAGTTTGCGGACCTCTTCGGAAACCACCTTCCGATTAATTCCAAGCGCGTAATTGGTCTAAAAATAACTTTGGGGACACTTTTCCCAGGGGCAAGTCTGGTCGTTTTCCTCTCTCTCCATTCATTCTCTCTTGCTAAAGTTTAATCTTTTTCCTTACAGGGGAATGCTGGTCAGGTTGTGGAAGCGAAGACACGTATTCTAGGGACGGTAGCTCCAGCAAATGTATCACCTATGATTATGACAATTGTAACCCACAATATAAGGATTGCGTCGGAAAGAATCACACAAACTTTGTATTTACTTTACATGGTGAGCAACAATCATACTTGCTTACACTATTTATCGATTCACTTACACAGCGAGTGAATGTATTTGCTGAATTATTACTGTTAGTATATAGGAGTCTCTTAAATTTACCTAATTATAAGTTAAAACAGCAAACTGACCCTTATGGCAGGAAGAGTGCGAGAACAAAAATAAAGAAAGAACACTGAAATAAATGGTGAATTATATAATTCACTACATACATTTTATATTTTTCTCACTCTTCCTGCCTTAAGGATCAGTTTGCTGTTTTAATTTACAATTTGGTAATAAAGATTTCACTGATTCAGGTCTACAAAAGATCCAGCTCATCTTATTGGTTTGTTGCTGTGGTTCTGCCTTCACAAGTGTTTCTTAAGTTGGACGATACAATACATGACTTATTTGAAAATTTACTTTCTACGATTTCAGGTCTTCATCCAGAGCACGCAACCGAACTTAAATCTTTGACCTGTGAGTAGTTCGTTTTATTAATTAATTAGACTCTGGATCGAGACAGGGAAACTGTCCTAAAACAAATAACCGCTTTATCCCGGCCGTTCACTGATTTTAGGCTGCGTCTGGGACAGTGCAAAGTAGGTTTTTTACTTCGGTGGTGAGGAACTTGTAAGTCCGACTGCATTATCAGTCAGGTTACTTTAACCGTTCGATTTTAAGAAATAACATTAAAAAAATGCTAAAAAAAGCCATTTCGTCAGTTTTTATTTACAACACTCAGGAATAGACGGCGTGAAGAGCAACTGAAAAATTTTTAACAGACTTGTTAACACACTTTCAATCAATCCAACAGTTAACCCAGGGTACCCGTATTTATGTTTATTTTGTAAGGGAACAAATGCAATTTAAATTAATTGATTACTTACACACAATCTGGTACTTATGAAGAACGACCAGATTAGTTTGAAAGATTTTTTTATTATTTTTGGAAAGTAAAACTAAATAAAATGTTTTAATCGCTTTGCAACCAGGAATTGTTTGATAAATCGGAGTGTAAATTAATATACTTTTTTACCTATCAGGTCAACACTTCTTAGTTTCCATACGAACTGGCGCATGCGGAGAGTCAACATCTACAGAACATGCGCACTCGATATTAACAAAAGTAAGGAATCTGCTTATCAAAAACAACGGCACCACGCAGTACTGATCAAAGAAATAATTATAATAATTAATGTGGTTGTGATAATAATATGATAGCGATGATTATGATGGACATACCAATGATGATGATGATGATGATGATGGTAATTATATTTATTATATACTAAAACAGTGGATAGTGTTTTTTGCGCGCTCTGATTGGCTATTCAAAGTCGGGATATCCAGTGCTATTCACTGATTCACCTTTAGCTCCTCCGAACGGGCGACGCCAAACTCGCGTAAGTTACGAGCAAAATGGTTTCCCGGTTTATTCGTTTATTGCCGTAACAAACAAAGTAATTTCACAAATAATCAAGCTGTTCCCGAAATACACGAAGAAGGTGACGAAAGTCGGTTTAGAAGCTTTAACAGGTAAAGCTCTGTCTGTTTGACTTGAATTTATCGATGAAACCGGTGAAAAAGTTTTTTGTTTACAAATGCAAATTAGGACTTGCGTTACGGTACTTTTAATTATTTGGCTGACATGTTCATAAATAAGCTTAAAACTAAATTCAATATATTTTTTACAGAATTAATTCAAATACAAGAAAAATTTAAAACTCCTTTTGAAGACATTTCCCCACAATAGCTAAACAAATGTCATTCACTGATTGAGTAGCAAATCAGAGCGCGCGAAAAACACTATATTAGTATATACTAAACTAAAATAACTATTCACCTCAGTGCCCGTGGCTAGTCGGTATTTATATTACCATATTCACTGAAAACTCTTCTTGAAGAACGGCTCTCCTAGCCTGCAGGAGCCAAACAGATACGGCTAACAGTCGAGTTTACGCGTAAACGTCTTCGTATAAGAAGATCACGAATCAAAGCAGCGCGATAGATGCAGGCCTCCGATTGGGCACAAATTAAAATAACTTTTGTGCCCAATCACAGACAAGCATTCGAATGAGTCGTGGAACTGGTTTGTTAAAAGTGGCATCCCAGGGGCTCTCTCTCCCGTACTTGAAAACTTTCGCCGCCGTTTTTCCTGACCTAACTGACCGCCCCCGGGTCTCCGATGATGGGAGACATCCTGAGCTGCATTAGTAAAAGTTTTACTAAATACTTATTTCTTTTGTCATCAGGTCCAGGACATTTATAAGGGATATTCTTGCCTTAAGTGTTTGAAGATTGTAAGCGAAAGGTATATGTCGCGTCTAGTTTATAGCGTAAGGTAGATTTTAATTTTAATTTTGTTGAGAAAAACTCAATAATTTTTTATCAAGGCTTAGCATCGTTTAGCATGACAGGCGCGGATCTAGGACTGAAGTACTGACAGATTTCCTAAACGAGCGCCGAAGAAGCAAGGTTCTAGGGGGAGGTCCGGGGGACATGCACTCCAGGGAAATTTTTGGGGATTTTAAATCCCTTGAGTTACCTTTCCTGGGTTCCTGAGTCACTCAGACTTCAAATTGACCAGATTTCAACCTGGAAAGCGGTTATTTATGAAAAATCTTAGCGATTTTCGTAAAACGGTGGAAACCGGTGTGGATCCGCGCCTGCATGGAGATGTACTAAGCGCCGTATCCGTGACATAATTCACGAGAAAGATTGAAGATATTTTGATTCCGTTAAAGGTTACGTGTCCGCTTATGTTGGTAGATGAATCGGTGGGCGGAAGAGGTAGAGAGAAGAAAAGAAGAAAAGACTGCTCATATCTCCTTCCCTCCGCCCTCGACGGCCATGAAATGACGCCTATTATGTAGACCATATAGAATTCAACAACAACAAACCTTTATTTGCATAACTATAACTAATTACAGTATTGCAAAAGGGTAGGGACTAAAAAATCCATATAGAATCCAGAATGTTCATGAACGGATAAGGATTAGCACAGTCAGTTTGTTCGCGGCCTTGTGTGAGGGAGGTTCCTAGTTCGATGTTCCAGTGTGACTTTAAATACTTGTTTTGAGTTTCTTCCTTTCTGTGTAGCCTTGAACAGAAAGTACCTGTAAAAGAGTGCCTGATCGAAGGAGGGGTAAAATGAGCATGCGCACACCACCGGCCTCAGGTGTATCAGTCTAAAGAGACACTTTACGAGTAACTTAAAATATGAACGATTATGGAACTAAAAATAGCTTACCTCGCTCCAGCTCTTTGTTTATGTCGATGTTTATTGTTTTCAGCTCTTCGGCAGTTTTTATCGCCCTAAAATTCACTTGCCAAGGACAACATTTGAAGAAACTTGTCTCCAGACTTGGAGCCAGTAGAATAATCAAAGCAGGTTTGAGCATTTAATTTTAAGCGATACTGAGGGTAAACTCACCATTTTCACATAGACCATAATGCACCTTGTTTACCCCTCAAAATTTTGCATAATCATTGTTTCAAATTTTTTCTGGGTTTTACAATCGTCTTCACACTTATCACTGACATGGTCGACGTTAAGGACTGCTTCATATACAAGAGTCAGGGGCACTCAACGAGAATATAGTTCAAAACTTGTTAAACGTATTTTAGTATTTATAAGTAGATATAGGCATATTTCTATCCTCTGAGAATTTTTCATCTGTGCGGATTTCCTAGCTGAAAGTCTAGTGATCCGAAAATTATAGAGATTAAAACTTACCTTTTCGAAAATTTCAGCCAGAAAAAAGGTTCCCGAAAATTCTAGGTGACCTTTTTAAGGTAAAAATCCGTTAAAAATGGCCAATTTCACCATTTTTTAGATGTTCGAAAATCCTAGGAGAGGCAGGGAAGCAAGAAATTTTACAACATGTTGTAAAATGTTCCGAAAATTCTAGATCTCAAATCGTCCTCCGAACAGATATTTCCGAAAATTGATGTTGGGTGCCCATGAAGAGTTTCCCCTTCAGATTATTCAGGAGAAATGTACGCTATTAAATCTGCTTAAATTCTGGGACCTTATCCAGATATAATTATGGATAACTGTGTTTGAATGGTTGGATGCATTCTGCCTTTTGGCTTGCCAATTTGCAGATTAGCATTTGACAACCAAGTAAGAAATTGTTCAAAATCTATTTCTATCGTAGCTTTTCTATAAAAGGAACTTTCTCCAAAGCAGAGTCGGGAACGGCTTAGATTTTGTCGTTCGCGGTCTCGATATATTTTTTAGGCCAGCTACTTTAACAAGGGAATTATCATTTTTCTTATTCTAGAATGTTCCACGCCACCTTGTCCAGTTTTCACACATCACTGCTCCTACCCATGTGGTATGTCCTCGTGTTCCATTTCGCCATCTCTACCGTATCCATCAATATGTCCGGTACCACTCCACTATCCCGAGCTGACGTGGCCCGCTTCACCGTGTTCGCCGTCATGCCCTTCAGTTTGTGCACCTGAATGCACTCCTTTCTGCTGCCGCACCATGGTTAATCGTCCAAAGAAGGCCAAGCAGTTCCCAGGTCAACTTGCTTCACAACAACCTGAACATTTAGAAGCCGGTGAAGTCATTGAAGACAATGTGCTTTAGAAGTAACAACAGCTAAAAGCTTGTTTTTCAATCTTTCCTTTGATTTTCCTAACTCCTACTTTTTCAACGAAAATCGGGATTAAACATTGACGTTACATAACTGATTTGAAGTCTTCTTAATAATTTTGATTCAGTAAGAAACAATGAGCCAGTTAATTTAACGGAGCTTAGGCAGTGTTTAACAAAACCGCGTTCTTATCCATTTTTAGTGCGCCTAATGCTTTCATCTTAACACCATTTATCGTGAAAAGGTTCATGAGAGCATAAGGCGTAGATTGGAAAAAGCACTTTTAAAATTTCTTAAAATTACCCACTAAGGAAAATATCTGGAGGTCCAAAGATTTGCTAAACTGCGGCCTAAGGTAGACTTCATTAAATAATCAACCCAATACGTTTATCACTTAAGGTAAACTGTGCAGTCAGATTAAATAGACTGACAACCGTACCAGGTTTAACCAAGGACGTACCTAATATAGTCAGACTAATAAAGCTTCAGGATATAGGAAAAATGATAACCGGGTTGAAGACTAGAAAAATAGAGACCTTTTGGGCCAGTCATTTAAACGGAGTTTATCCAATATTTTTTTTTTCACAAAACCGCATTCTAAGCCATTTTCAGTTTGCCTAACGCTTTCATGTAAACGCCATTTTTTGTGAACAGTTTCATGAAAGTATATAGCGTAAACTTGAAAAAGCATTTTTCTTCTTAAAAAGATTTCCTAAACCACGGTCTAAAATTGACTTCGTTTAAAAATAACCGACCCTTTGGGGGCCCGGTCATTATTTATCGCCTAGGGGAGTGGTGGGGGGGGGGGGGGTGGAGGATTTGGGGCTATAAAACAAGGTGAAATTTAGCCCATGTGTTCATTCCAATTTGAGTGGTCCCCCCTCAGAATCCTTCCAACGTTTTCAGTGATCCTCCCTTTTGGGTTCTCAGTTATGACTGATCCTCCCTTTTGTTCTCCTTAAAATTAAGTGATCCCCAAAATATCCTCCGCGCCCCCACCCCCAGGCGATAAATAATGACCGGTCCTTTAGAGTCTAAGATGAGGACGAGATCTTCTCAATATTAAGTACTGCGCGTGAGTGAACCAGCGTCAATTTGGCGGAAAAACGAGGTAGCTGTCGTCATCCAACTGCTGGTTTTAGCGAGGACATCGTGGCGGAAAAAATAATTAAAAGCTAAATAAGTTATAAAATAAGGCAAGAACGCTGAGCGTTGAGTCTCGCTTGCTTGGAGATAAATTTTTTTCTCAGCTGGTGCTGTTATGCTACTATTTCGTTTGGAATACAAAACAAGTGTTATATGTCATAATGTAAACAATCAAAACTTAAAATTTGCAAGGAGAGACAGGCCGCACAACGGTGTAAAGTCTTTTAAAACCTTCTGCATATTGATATTGCTCCAGTGAGGAGAACTCTTTCAGGGATTTTACAGATATATATAGCTTCTACGTAGCGGACAAGATACGGCTCGGTACAGTTTTTGTTCAGTAGAAGAAAAATGTGTAACTTTATAACAGACTGATCCTCATGACAAAGTGCTAATCGTGCCTAGTTACGAAGCAAACAAGCAGATTCAGTAAATACAGGTTAGTGCGAAGAAGAGTGCAGCCGGGCTGAAATATTCAACTAAAATCTCATGGCAAAGGCCGACCTTTTAAGATTTTGTCGAAAGTTGAGTTCACCTGGATGAGTCGCAATCCATAAGCGTCAGCACCGAAGTAAAGACACAGATTCCATTGTCGTGTTTCATTCATAAAAGGTATTTTTAGATTGAGACTACAATAGACGATCGTTACATTTCTTTACTGGATGAACTTGCTACTGTTACAGATAACAAATTAATCAACGTTTTGTCGTAAAACTGCGATTTTGTCAAACACCGACTGGGCTCTGCCTTAATAACCGATCTAAGATGTCTTCGCCACAAGTTGGTGGCTTCAGGTTTTTAAAAACTTTGACTTTGCCACTTCAAAGAGAGAGTAAAACTTCCTTAGCAACTTCACAGGCAATGTGTATGACCCTGAAACGGCTCAGCTAACACCGAAAATTATTTTCCATTTATTGATGTAAGAATTAAAAATTTAATAATAATAATAATAATAATAATAACTTTATTTCTATAGCGCTCTTATCCTATGTTCAAGGCGCTTTACAATCATGTAAACAACATTATTGAAAAATATTTACAAATTTACTACCATATCCTAATATATTTACAATGGATAAAAAACTAAAACAACTATTAAACCATATTCATAATGATAAAAAAAAGGGAAAAAATTAAAACTAACGCAATATATACAAATTTATAAAAACAATGATCCGTTATCACTGAATTTAGTAAACAAGTACGTCTTAAGTGATCTTTTAAAACTCGAGATGGTGTTGGACTTCCGAATTTCATAGGGTATTAAGTTCCATTCTCTTGGTGCATGAACAGCGAATGCTCTATCTCCGTAGGTCTTGGTATACGATCTAGGTTGCATTAAAAGTTCATTACTAACAGACCACAATGATCTAGAATGAGGACGATAATGTAGTTTTTGAGCTAAATAGCTAGGCGATGTCCCATTCAGTGATTTATACACGACGAGCAGAATCTTGAAAATAATACGATATTGAATCGGTAGCCAGTGAAGCGCACACAAAATCCCTAACATTGTATAACTTTTGTTTTACCCCTTATTGTGCCGTGTTGTTAACGATACAACCAAACAACCGCGTAACTATTAAATGCCATTAAAAATAAATCCATGGAGGCTCTACTTCTACGAGAAGCACAAAACCGATGGTGAAAGCAGGAACCTTCTTGTACTCTGACCGCATCCAAAAGGAGAATATTCAAAGGTTCCAATCCTGAAAATCATTAATTTTAAAAACCCTAAAATCATTGTTTGAATTAATGGTCTTGAACGGTTCTACTTTGAACTGAGTTGATATTGGTGCTTTCCGCTTTGCTGAAACAGTACTTCCTAGTGACTCAACAGAAAAAGTTATTAAAACAAACACTTCAGTTTAAACCAATTAAAGATATTAAGAAGTTTTTTTTCAATAATTTTGAAGACCAAATGGAAACTTAATCGCAACTAGACTAAAACTTACAGTTTCCGTTTTCATATTTCTACATTTCATTTTTTCGTATGTGACTTGTGTAGTGCTGTATATGACTTCTATCACAAAACACTCCTTGACAGAAGTAAGTCAAACATGCAAAAATCCAGCTAAACCAACATATCTCTTTCTAAAGATGTATTCTCAAGGTTTTCTTGCTTCCAAAGGAAAATGGAAACATTTTTCTAAGAATAGCTAGTGACATTATCCGTCAGTATAACCTTCATTCTTGGGAGTTCGTGATAAAAGGGCAGCTGAATGGCTCCAAAAGCCCCAGGCTATGGAACCTAACATAATTGTACTTAATTGCGTACCACTGCAAACCACTGTACGCTTTGCTTTATGCCTTTGACCAATTCATCCATAAGAGAATTTAAGCATACTGTTTTCTTACTTCTCATAACGTATTAAAAAAATAAAACCAAATGAAAGAAGCAAAAATTTTGGCAGCAGTCAAGTAAAACCTGTAGGTTTAAGGTCTTACCAAGACAAGCGATTCTAAAGAGATTCATTTTCTACAAGAACCGCTACAATGATTGACAGAACAGTGATAAATGATTGGTAGATTTTAATCCATTGTTTCTTATTGGTCGATCTTATTGGTCGTTCTAATTTTGATTGATGGAAGAGTAAAAAGCAGTGAATACTTAATATCTTTGCTTCAGAGTCTGCTTTTCATTTCGCTACAAAGAAGATAAGTGTTCAGTTCAGGTAATTGTGCCAGTTTATCACTGTATGAGGGTTTTGATTAGAACTGGTGATATCAGCTAAGACGGAATTGCATGAAGACTTGAGGGGTCAGTTACTTAAACAAAGTGAGTAGCTTAGATAACAGTAGAAAAAATAAGTGTATTTTAGAATCCTATTTATAAGTGGCTTGTTTTGAGTTAAGGGCTGTAACTGCGTCAAGCCTAGTTGGCCGGACAAATACCCAATTAATTATTCTTTGCCCACAAACAGATGGCATTTTACTTGACTCCAATGATGATGAAGAAATGGCTGCTCCCGTAAATACGGGACAACTAATCTATTGTAGTGAATTAATACTAGCGCACCAGAAAACATTTACTGAGCTTACGTCACTAATCATGATAGGCATGAAGTTCAAAATAATTAAGGCGCCAATTTATGTTAAAACACCGTTTAACCTCTGTTTTTTTTAACCGGCCCAAATCGATGTTTTTTTGCCAGTAGTCAGTTCGTCTGTTATAAAACTTTGTTATTTACTTTTCTAAAATGGGGGAAGTTTCCACTTCAGTGCGAGACAGTAAAAGTACGCTACCAACTCCACAGGCAAATTTTCTAAAGAAACAATTTTATCAGTTATGATCGATTTTCTTTTTCAGTTTATTTGAATACAGAAATTGAATTCAATTTTACTCCTAGCAATTGGCATTTCTTTTATCTGGTCAGTAAGGGCTACTTGTGCTGAGTATACGATGCAAACAAACAACTTAAAAGTGGTTATAAATTCAAAGGCGGAAAATGTTCAGTTTGCGTTAGCTCCACTAAACCCTAAAATTTCTACTACCAGGTTTCAATATATCTAGCTATATCTACCCTCTCAAAGGGAAATTTTAGGATTATCAACTGAACGCATTGCTGGATTCAAAACATTCCCAAAATGATGAAAGTGTCGTAGCCTTCCTATGTCAGAATGAAATGATATGGGATGGCTGAGAGATTACAACTTTTATACATGAGGACCCGCATGAGACTTTCTTTCGCACACCGCATGACGCCGGCGTTGTTAAGGATGCTAAGTTTTGAGTGACAAGCAATAAACTTCCTACTGCGAAAAGCAATTAGTTTCTTCACCGTTTGATCTAGCCTGCGTGGCAGGCGTATGAAAGGGAAGGGAAAGGCGGTTTGGGGCGCGAGGG